ACCATACGCCCATGCTAAGAACCCGACAGGGGAGTTAGTAGCAAACATCAAAAAGGACAAGGCAGCGTCTCTTACTGAAACATCCGAAGACGAAAAGCAAGGCAGAGAAATCCGGACCGCATCGACTTGCGCTATCTTCCCTGCAGCCAAGTTTGCACATCAGTACGCCAGTTCCCCGTTTACACTCGTGCAAAGCCTTGGCCCGCCGATCGGATGGCGAGATCAGCAGCAGAGCTGCTTCAGTTGGATTTTGTATGCACATCCTGCACGGCATCGGCACAGTTCTCTTGAACAAATGTAAGGCCCCCCACCCGGAAGCGAATCAGTCCCAAATCGAACTTGTGCGTCATCAATGAGTCATCAATATTGATCCATCATTCAATTGTATCAAGAATCATTCATTGCCCAACCCGGGGCATGTTTCATGCAACCATCACTTTCGTACCGTTTTACTTATATACTCATATCATGCAATTTCTTTGCGAGATGTGAAGAGCATGCTGACTGGCGACATTGCGTTAACAGCACATGGCAGGACATCCCACACATCGAATCTGTTGGCTTTGACACTTTGTTTCATGCAATTAAGTCCTGGACTGGCCGACCGTGCTCTCTCAACTGTTGGGCTTGCTCTAAGCAGCTCAAACAGTGCTCTACACGAGTCCAATCAAAGAGCTCAATGTCACGAAGCGTTGGGACCTGCATGCCTACTGCATAATGACTCCAGACAACAAGACGCAGGGCGTCAAAGGGAACCTCTGGGGCCAACATGAGGATGCGCTTGTGGCCAATGCCAGCATACGGCTCGGAAGGAATGACATGTTCGATTGCACCCATCCTGCATATCTCAAAGGCCTGTGAGGATGCATTGCGGCATTCCAGCAGGTAGTCCCCAATGAGTTGACCATCATGCTGATCCTCGCGGAGGACAATTGAGACATTTTTCGATGTAACCACGGGAAAGGACCACTCGATGAAACCATTGACATCCATTGGTAGTGCATCCAGCGCATCCTTGCTGGAGGCAAGTGGCTCACTGAACAGGCACTTGATTGCCTGTCCCAGTTGCTCATACCGCTGCATGTCTAAGTCTGGGATAGCCCCAGATCCGTCTGGCGATAGATTCACAATCAAGTTCGAAGCTCGACCCACACTGGTCAAGTAATTGTAAAGCAGCTGTACTGGTGACTTCATGTACTGCTCTGTGTCATTTTGGTGGAACCAATAGTGTTCCCTCAGCACAATGTCACAAGAAGGCGGGACGAAGAACGCTGCGCGTGGGTCCCCATTGTAGTGAGAAGTGTTACTGGCTGCTGCCCATGATGGTAGTGGCATTACTCCAGCCTCATTGCCCATCCATCTCACTGCCCCGGCCTTGTTGGAGTATGCGGAACATGAATGACAAATAGCCCGCGGAGCAATTCCCATCAGCAACTCAGAGATGAAGCCGGCATGGGGCCCGAGACCACCATCAAACCAGACTTCCATGGGTCCATCCTTCCCAAATGCAGTAACAATTTCCTCCAGCTGTCCTGCGACCACAGCCAGGTACTCTTCAGTGGTATAGTTTCTGCCACCTAGTGGTGGATGTCCCAGCTTAAAATCGTCCACACCAAGAAACCAGTTGTAGTGGACACTGTAGAAAAAACCAACTTTCAGGCCATACTTCCGACAACTGTCAATGTACTCGCGCAATAGATCGGCTCCACCACCCTTGTACTGTGTGTGCGCCACAGAGAAGTTGTGAAACTTTGTGTTGAACCAAGTGAAACCAGTCATATGGTCAACGACCATCACTACATACTTGGCACCGATGGCAACTGCTGCCCGTGCCCACTGATCGGTGTCTAACTTTGAAGGATTCCACTGTGCCACGGCATCCAAGGAAGGTACATACAAGGGGCCCTCCGTCTTCGAATCAGCTTGGCACCTCTGTTCTGACACTTTCCCGGCTGACTTGGGAGCACAGATCGTCTGCAAATTCCAATGTACCATCAAGCCGATCTCGTAGTCTTGCCACTGTAACTGTTCAGCTGTTGGCTTCGCAACCGGCGCAGATGACATGACAGTGGGCGCCATTAACGTGAGAACCGCAGAAGCCGCAACTCCACTGAACCAATGCATCGCCATCGCACTACTCAAATGCGTGACAAAAGCGATCAGTCAAGTACACGTTTGAATACATTTAGCTGCAAACGGCAACAGGCACTCGCAGGCTGCCACACGACGTAGCTCTACGCGCTGACTCCATGGAGTATCAAGCACAAGTACAAGGCGCCTCTTTTGTCAAGTTAGCCTGGTGCCAACTCGAACTGCGCTTTCTACAGTGCATCCTACACAAGTGAAGTGAGCCTATACTCTCAGAAGCGAGTCGTGCATCTGTACTGCCATGGCAACCCCCCGCTTCAGAGGGAAGCTTGCTCAGACTAGAAACTCTACCTTGTCCTTTCCAGACTTCAGAGATGCGGCTGTCATCAACCAGAGAGACATGACGCCATGACGCTTCTCAGAGGCGTTGTACCTGGCCACGGTGCGCAGGTGATCGGATCTGCGGATCCTCGGAGGCGGGCTCAATGGGGGTGGGCCCCAAACGCAAGGTGGAATACCGACGAGGAATCCAGCCTCATCACCTGCTTGTACACCCGTGCCGTACTTGGGATGGCTCTGGCACAGCAGCTCATTTGTAGAGACTCGGTACAGCTCAAGGCCCACACCGGCGATGTGCTGGTGCCCCCAGGCATGTACCAACTCAAACTCCTCGTCCGGATCACTGTGGTTGTTGCTGGGCACATCGAAGACTTCAACGCTCTCGATGACGTGCACGCAGTGATCATAAGGCGTTCCATCAGAGCACTGTGGAACGTCGTATTCGATGTTGGCAAAGTGGGACCAGTTGGCAAGATAACCGGCTGTGGCATCACAGCAGGATGGCTGCATCGTCGGCCTCACAGACTTTGTTTCTGGTGCATCAGGCTCGTAGTACTCAAAAATGAACTTGGCTTCAATTTGGTCCACAGGCGCGTCGGGTCCAGGCAGTTCTTCCGTCAAGAAGACGCCGTGCTCGCAGCATCGATAGCCACCCTCGTATGTTGCGAGGCTGCAAGCTGCGTTGCCCTGATCCAAGAGCTGCTGGGAGCATCGGAAAGGGATGGGCTTGGCTCCATCGATTGTCCCGTTGGTCACATTAATCACCCGCCTGCTTGTGCAAGGGCACTCCCATAGCTTCTGGTCATGAGGAACACCGTGGGTGTTGATGAAGTGCATGAGTACCATGAAGCTCTCCGGCGACTTGACATCATACCTGCGACAGACTGCATAATGCGGCACACTATCTGCTGCGAACCACAATGGTAGTCAGTAGTCACTTGTGAGCAAATCCCCCGAGTGTCCCAAGCCCCCTTTTCGTCTGTGGTGCGTGTAGCTTCCAGCCAAACGAGTCGAGGTTCCTCGGTACTCTGCTCCGCTGGCACCTGCGACAAAGCTGGAGGTACGAAGTAGACTGTTGAAGGAGTTGTTGCAAAAGCCTGTTTGCTTCAAGCATAAGCAGGGCGGATTGTCACGGCTACGAGCTGTAGAAGTTTTGCCTCCAAAAACAGAGATGTCCTCTCGGCGAGACTCCGACAGGGCTTCCGTCAAGATGGCTTCAAAGGAGGCACGCTTCCTGGATCTTTACATCTCCGAGTGCTGTCAATGCAAACCATGAAGATCTGCTTCACGCGAGTGTCCCAAACTCATCTCACAAAAACCTATCTTGCACGTGTCTGTAGAGCCGTGAGCCATATTGCCGTCGTGTCTTGACTCAGAGCAAAGAGGTGTTTGCTGCATGTGTGAGTTCTGCTAGGAAGATGCTGCTGCGTCCTATCCTATATATATATATATATATTGACATAATCCCGTGCCATCCAAGTCGCATGGCGCATCCATGATGGCGGTGCTGCTTGCTGGCATGGTTGCCCTCGCTGCTCGGATCAAGAGGGTCCTTGCCCTTGGTGTGGTTGTACAGCCTGCGGGGCTCTTCAATCCGCACTACATGAGATTCGGCTGCCACATGGACATGAGCTTTGTCGACACATTGCAGCTCAATAGCGTCATCAAGTCTTTCGTGGGCCCCAGGAGCAAGGCATGGTGGTGATTGTACGTCATGTACAGAGGAGCCGGCACTTTCTCCCCGGTTTCATTGTTGACCAGTACGATGTCCAGGTCCGCCATCTTGAGATGCATGGTCTTGTTGGCAAACTTTTGCCTGACACCATGGGTGGGCCGTGCTTACGAGTTCCTATAATTATGGTTTTTCATGAACAACTTCATGGGTAGCTCCCGCAGGCAGGTTTCGGAGTCTCTAAATCGGTGGTCTTGTGGACAGGGAACCGGCGCTTTTAGGGGGTTTAGGGTGCAGGTTCAGATCTCATGGTCGCGCAGCGGAAGAGAGTTGGGTCAGTGACAGACGACAAGAAAAGCTTTTGCGGCAACTCCGACTCCGGAAGGGCATGGGCCTTGATTTTAGCATAGGGGCCTCCAGCTTCCGTGGATTTCGTAGCCCTTTCGATGACACTAATCGATTCCAGAAACAGCACGAAGGCATCGCATCAGAGTGTCGTAGTCGTACTTGCAAGACAAAGAAGATGATGCAGCAGTATTTACACAACACATCTGGAAAGCGTCGCTTTCGCACAAACCTTCCACGGGCACATGCTTCGCAAACTCTGCGCAACCACAGCCCCGTGCAGTTTCGCGCGCCGGTTTTTGGGATTCTTTCCGCGCGTGTCTTTGCTCGCTCGCGCCTGAGACTTGCTCATAGATTCAAAATCTTCGAGACTCGAGCACGGCATCCGAGAGCGTTGGCACAGGGTTCGCGGGTTCAATGGTAACAGATGCTTCGGGGAAATCTGGCACAAAGATAGGGGTAGTCTCGAAACAGTGGGGTTAAGTGTAGTCGGTACGGCACTGTAACTTGCGATTGAAGGATGCTTGCGTACAGCGAAGATGGGGAGTCACATGAGGTTTGAGAATCTCTGTCAAGTCAGAATACTTCTTGTGGGCAACCGAGAGGCTGCCAAAGGCTGCCTGGCTTTCCCTGAAAGTTGTCCCCTAAACCCTAAACCCAAAACCCAAACCCATTGTGTCGTGGGTTTGTGGGAACCCCTCTCAGGATGCCGGACATTCGAGGCACCTTCCAAGGGACCTCTCGGACCCTCTACCCATCTCTACCCTCCAAGACCATTTCATCGATGAGCTGTTTCAAAGAAGTTGAAAACAACAGTGCGTGTGTGGTTGGTGGGAACCTTTTCACTTGGCTGATCTTCATGGTGCTAGCTCGCGGCCGCTGGGACCTGTTGGGGAGCCCTTGCGCTCCGCGAAGGTTGGCTAGATATTCGGTCCGGGCCAAAGCCTGCAGATCCGAAGCTGCAAGCAGTCGTGTGCGAAAAACCGCGCCTGCCATACGCGCGGTGAGTATGTGTGAGAAATACTATGGGTATACGAGATCTGCCTGTACGCGTCGCGCTTCCCTGGGCGTCCTGGGGAGACAGAAAAATCGCCGCACTGCTCAGCTCCAGAAAAAAACACATGCAGTTGCTGCAACACTTGCTTGCAGCCTATGAAGTGAGGGCATATGACATGGTGCAAGTAGTGAATACGTTTCTGAGCTGTGCTAGATCCAGGATGTTGACAGACTCTGAGAGAGCTGCACAATCTCATCGGGCAACTTCTTCGGAAGGACGTATCCTGGGCCGTGCTAAAATGAAATCGCATGCGGACGGAAACCTCCTGAAGCTCCTTCGACCCTACAGTACGTTTCTTTCATGACGTCTCTACCTCCAAGACATGGCCAAGGCTTGCCAAGGCTCGGTTGTGCACCTCGCCGCGTCGAAGGAAGATGGGGTCTGAGTAGACGGTGAAGCGACGCAGGCTGTCGACGGCCCCTGATGCAAAACAAGCCGGATTCATGTCTTCCGAGCTTCAAGAGACAACCTTGTGGTTACACTGCATTCTGCACGTGGTGAGCTGATGGATGTTTACTTTCAACTGATGTTTGGCAACTCTGAAGCTGGGTGCGCGAGTATGCGTGCGCGCGTCCGTGCGCGTCAACAAACGAACTCCTGCTTTGACACGGAGGAGGGACGAGACCATGTCACATTAAAACCACTTGCGCGATGAACTCGAGGAACGGAGCCCATCCTTGTAGTTCGGGCCCACCGACGAGAAGACAAAAAACCGCAGAGATAAAAACACTGCAATCACAGCAGCTTCTCACCACGATCACACTCTGCCAGCAAGCAAGGTCATTGCTTTGTGTGTGCATGCATGCGCGCGTGCGGGTGCGAGTGGGCGCCATTTTTCGTGCGAGTGTTAATCACATCCGAAGTCCCTTGCTGTGCTTTGCTTCAGGCAACATCCCCCCATGCCTCACAATGCAGTGCCTCTCTAAGGATGGCGTTTCTGAAAGAGGCAGGCAGAGAGGAGCGAGAGAGAGAGAGAGAGAGTGAAAGAGGGGGAGAGAGAGAGAGAGAGGGAGAGAAAGAAGAAAGAGAGAGAGAGAGTGTGTGTGTGTGTGTGTGTGGGTGCGTGCGTGCGTGCGTGGGTGGGTGGGTGGCTGGGTGGATGGGTGTGTGTGTGTGTGTGTGTGTGTGCAGTGCCTCTCTGAGGGCATAAGTTAACCTTCAGCTTTTGCACTTTGTCAACAGGGGGGTACGGCATCAATCTCCTACGGTACCCAATTAAGCTATGGAGATTGACGGGACACACTGGTTGGCCACTGTATCTGCTCACAGCCCGTTCGTTGTGGTAGTGTTTGGGCCTTTGTGTGTCACACATGTTTGTACGAGTCGTTGCGAGAGAACACGGTAGAGCTGTCTTGTCCAAACACAGCGAATATATGACGAGAAGAAATAGGTGAGTGATGTATTCCGGCTGACAACCACATGAAGTGTGGGCGGGTTTTGTCGGGTGGGTGGGTGCGCGTGGAGCGGCGTATGATTGATCGAGTGCGCGTGTGCGTGTGAGTGTGTGTGTGTGTGTGTCGCAGCGCATGTGAATTGTAGAAAAGCATGGGTTTTATGTGCGCCTGTGCGCATGACACTGATGCTCTCAGAAACCAAACTGCTGAGTACATCTGATGAATCAACCTAATGCGGTCTCCTGCCACCGTGCGTCAAACAGAGCTTTTCACAAACAAGAAGTTGCAAATTGCGAATCCCGGCTGGCCTACGATCCGCAAGGACAGCGCCAACAACGCCAGCTGTGTGATAAGATTTCTCGCCATCCCGCCCCAATAGTGCGACAACCAGCCAAGTGCCAGATCTGAGAAAATAGCTTGAAAGAGCTTGAGGCAGTTCAAGACAAGCGAAGTGTTCTCCAGGAAGCAGGATGACACAGGATGAACAAGGCAATACATTCAAAAAGCTGCACACATCAAGCAGGGCTGACAAGTAGTGACAAGCTCGTGTTTCACTCCTCCTCGCTGTGTCTGCTTGCTCATGCGAAGCCATGAGCACTGTCAGGAGCACTTCGCAGTGCTGCAGCTGCCGTGTTTCACTTTCCCAGCTACTGCAACCAGCAGGCAGAAGATAGATGCACAATATGTACAGATCCCCGGTGCTCGGCACCTTGGGCTTTCTTTTGGGAACATTACTCACCACCTCCCACCCGACCGGCATGATTACGGATAGGAACCATTGCCGGCATCTCAGCTGTACGGCGCTGGATCCTTTGTCGGCAGATCGGAATGACAGCGCGAACACTCCAAGTGTACCATTCATGTTCCACCCTGCTACCTTGCAGTGCTGTTCATGCCTGCGTAGAGAAATAGGACTCTGGGCAACTCCCTTCAGCAAGTGGCGATTGATTCGTGCTTGGGCGTCGTCTGATAGGGATGAAGCTGGCCACTTCTCATGCTGTTGCAGTCCCATACATATTGGGGCAGCCACCTCCACTGGTTCTTCCATCCCAGACGACTCCAACGGAACGTCGTCCAACGGAGTCAATTCTGCCTTGCAAGGCAAGCGCACAAACTCCTCACAAGGAACCTCAGCAACTTCACCTGCCTGCTTGCGGCGCTGTGCCTTCAGCTGTTTCCTTAGACTCGCGGGAAGCTGGGCGTCGCTATGCCAACTTGGCCGACAGAAAGACGTGCTCGACTAGGGCTTCTAGATCCCTGGAGTTGACATCCAGGAGGCCGTTTTGCTACAATGATCTTCTTCCTCTCCGCCCTCCTGGCTTTCGCACTTTTGCTGTGCTGGGTGTTCGACGTGTGCTCGTGCCTTGCCAGCACCAGACTAACAAGGAGGAGTGAAGCGCGTGCCGCTACACTGGTGTTCTGCAACCAAGATCTGCTGCCAAGGTGCGTGAGCAAGCCTTTCTTGCGCTTTGTCTTCCTTAGTTCTGATGGATGCATGTAATCTACTGTATCTGCAGCATATTTGAAAAAACGTCGCGAAAGCTCGAATCATTTACTTCCCGCGAACAGCATGAGATGCCAGTGATTTGCAGTCTCCGGAGTGCCAGCTTGGATTGACATGCCGTGCATTGCATTATAGTGTAGCTTGGAGCGTCCAGGCGAGATGCAGTAGTTTCGTGCGTTGTGAACTTTATACTCGTTTGCTTATTTCACTACACCTTCTCATGTAGTGCCTTAGTTATTGCTCACGCTGATGCTTTCCTTCTGCTGCTGTTTGTGTTTTTAGGTGCCTCATTCTGTATCTCTACCTTTGTAATTCTGGCCGGCTCGAAAACTATGAAATCTGGATTTGATGGATCCAAGTTTCGCTTCGCTGCTCCTATCTACCTTCACGTCCAAAACCCAACCTTGTCGTAAGGCTTAGGATGAGCACCCCGCATCCCAGACAAGCCCGGAACCAAGAAGCCAAGAAGCGGAAGGGTGGTCGATGACAAGACTGAAAAGGTTGGGATGGCTTCTTTTCCAGCTATCTCCGCTCTTCTCTTCAATAGGACTGGGGCCCACCGACTTATCACTTCGTTGAATTCTGATGCTGGCATCTCAGCCTCCCTTGCGTCAGTCAAATTTCAGGTGGGTGATTGCCTTTGCGCGCTTCTGTGGGAGAGAAGCAGTACCAAGAGCAATCGAGAATGACAATGGCTGTGAGTATGATGATGAGTCAGAGCAGTTGCGATTGTCACCCTACTGCTGGTCATGATGAAAACCAAAGAAGACGGGCAAGACAAGTATTCACAAAGCAGCCGGAAAGCCAAGAAGCTCGGAGAAACACAACCCACAGAAGTCAAAAACAACATCTTTCATATACCTTCCTTCCGTAGCAACTGAGGAAGCAAAAATCTACAGGCACCAAGTGCAGGTACTACAAGGAATATAATATAACCCTAAACCGGAGGTTAGGATTGGTTTAACATTGGTGTCGGCATGCTTGCAAAAACATCACGAACCCAGCTTTCTCAACCTTAAACTGCCAAGCTCAGCATTCTTAACGCCTTACCTTGATGAGCCTGAATCTGGAATCACGGACTTGCCTTGGTCTTCGCGAGTTTGCAGTTCAAGTTTCAGTGTCACACATATTCGGATCGGACCTGTTTCTTCCCTTGTCAAGCAAGTCAAGTCTCTTTCCGAGTTTCTGCGCCAGAGCACTTCAAACCAACTTGTTGCAATGCAGCCAAAGCATCGTCCTTCTGAACTGGGTATAGGACTCCTTCCTCGTTGTTGCCAGCCAAAGTCCATTCTTCTTCGCCCAGCTCTTGTAGCTTTCGAAGCCGTCCTAAGCTGAAGCACCTCCTCAACAAGCAACCTTCTCCGTCAGTCACCTGCGCCGATCAGCTGTGCCACAAAGAGTCGGCATCGACGCGGCGAATCGCTTCATTCAGTTGCGCCACATCCTTGTCAGCCTGTTCAACAGGGAGGGCTTCTCAGGGTCTCTGCAACGTAGAGGACACGGGCTACACAAAAAAAATCAAATGAGCGGCAATGCGCTGAAGGCACAAGGAAAGCTGCATTGAAGCTCGGCCCAAGTCCTGCCTTGATATCTTTGCTGGTGAAGCCGGCCTGTTCCAGGTCTCTCCTGAGATCAGCGAGTTCGGTCCTCAAGCGTGCCTTCTCGTTCATCCGCCGCTCGAAGTCTGCGGCGTCCATGGAAGGCGCCTTCCTAACATCTGTCGCCTCGACTGTCAGATCCAATTTCGAAGGCTCCTCTTGGGAGTTCGTCGAAGCCTTCGAAGCCTCCCCGTTCAAATCCTGCACCTCTGGTGCCTTGCTCTCCGCTTTCCCCGCGTCTGCTGCATCCTCGGGGGCCTTGGTGGGTCCAAGCCGTTCGCGCTCGCTTGGTGTCACTCGTCTCGCGCTGTGCGAACGCAACTCTTCGGCCTCGCTTGGACGCAACTGTTGCTGCAGGGCCTGCAGCTGCTGCACTGCGTCCAAGCGCTCCAGCTTGGCTTGCCGGAGTTCTTGCTGCAGCTGGGACTCGGCGTTGCGACGTTGCTCCTTTTCGTCCAGGAGCTCTTGCCGGGTCTGCTCCCTGTCCTCCTTCCACTTGGCTTGCTCCTCTTCAAATCTTGACACAGCAGCACCCATCTGACTTCGGACGCTCTCGATTTCGACAGCAAGGGCCATCAGCTCCTCTTGGGCGCGTCGAGCACTTGCAGTCTCAGCTCCGACCTGCTTCTCCAAGTCGGAAATCCGTTGGGAATTGCTGAGCCGTGTCTCTTCCAGCACTGCCTTCAAGCCGTTGAGCTCGGAAGTGGCTGTCTCCGCCGCTTGCCTTGCCTCCATGGCTCGAAGCTTGGAGGTGGATAGCTGTCGTTCTGCTGCCTGCCGGAGCGACTCAGATTTGGCGAGGCGGCCCTCGAGGTCCTCCGTGCGCTGGCGCGCGCTGGCCACGGCCTTGAAAGGGATGTGGAGAGTCAGAACAACGGGTCACACAAGTTGCCTCGCACGTTGTCTCACATGATTCATGGGACTTGTGACGTCTCCCGGCCTGAGAGGAGGCCTCCTGGCGGATGCTCTGCAGCTGTTTGCGTGCGGAGGCCAGCTCGCCGTCCAAGCAGGCCACGCGCGAGCGCAGCTTCTCAGATGCATTGCGCTCCTCTTCCAGCTCACTTTGAGCCCTCAGGCTCTGTGCCCGAGCACTGCCCACTACTTGGACCAGATCTTGCTTTCCACTCCTTCGATGATTTCGGTTGCATGCTAAGAGCTACGATGCAACGTCTGCCTCGATAACTATCTGCTACCTGTCAAGGCTGCCAAGCAACTCTGCCTCGAGGGCTCGTCTGTTGGAAAGCTCAAGCTGGGTTTGGAGGCTTTGAATCTCCTGCCAAAAACAACGGACTTGCGATGCTGAGCCTGTGCCTATACAGCAACTACGTTGCGATTACTATACATTCCAGAGGCCCCCGAATCTCTCTTCCGAGCACTGTCATCCTGGAGAATGGCCTCAAACTCAAAGCCATAAATTCTTGTATATGGGTTCTTCAATGTTGCCGGGACGAGAACCTCCACTATAAGTACGTCTTTTACAACTGTTGACAAGCTGTTGACACTGATCCTACATCTTGTCTGTGTCGGTTTTCGGTGATCCCAGAGCACACCTGCTGCATGTTGCCCTCGTTGCTCTGCCCGGCAGCGCACGCACGAAGTTGATGCCGTCGTGCGTGTGGGAGTAGGGCTGCCGCTGTTGCCCTGGCCCAACAACATGACAACCACGCAACTGCGCCACCGCCTGATCGTAAACTGATCGTACCCATACGTGACTAAGCGTATGGTATATACACCTGCCGAATGCTTCCGAGTTGCGCCCCCAAAGCCTTCAGACTTGTGCCCAGTGGTGCCAGGTGCCTCTGCGAACACGCGCAGCCACTAGCAAGAAACCTTCAGAGGTGTCTTCCACAGCAGGTGCGAAGAGTATGTCGATATGTGCTGCCCACGTTTGTCTAGCAGACTTGTCACACATTGTCAGCATGGGTTTGAACGGAGTCACTGTGTTTTGTGTGGGCCCAACGTCTGTCGATAGACTGTAGACTCCAAAGGCGAAATTCTGTCAGAGCCAATGTCGGGAAGCCCTAGAGGCCAAGGAAAACATCTCGCCAAAATGGAAGGAGGGGAGGGACTTCAAACCCTGCAGGCCGAGGAGAAACGCGAGCGAGCTCCAGGCATGGTACTAGCATGCCCCAATGCCCTGACACGTAAGTGCCTTATCAATGGCTTCGAAGCCTGTATGATGACACACAGAGGCCAACTGCAAAGCCACACCCGAAGATGAATGCCGGTGGGGCGCACTTCGCCCGCTGACCTCGGCCCTGCGCAGCCAGCCATGGACACAGCCAGAGCTGGAGTTGCACTGCCCGTGGGACACAGCATCATGACAACACCCGGTTCCAGGTGCGGCTCAAGCCAGAGTGCTTTGGTGAAACATCTGACACACTACCGAAGCCATCCTCCATGAAGCTGCATGTGCCGCAATGCAAAGCTTAAAACGTGCTGCGCACCTTTCTTTCACGTTTGCACTGCTCAACATCAACCTCAGGGGTGTGAATAGATGGTCGGCATATGCACATGTGTGCAGGAAGGCAATGACAACATGACTGATGCATTCTTGTGCATTAAGCTTCGATAGTCAGTCGGCTTAGCAGCTCAAGCTTCAGCCAGCAAGCCTTCCTTCCTCCGCGGGGGGAGTGGGAAGAACTTGCTGACATGCTGCTGGTACCGCGCGTACTCGGGATACTTGCTCGAGGACAGCGATTCCTCAGCAAACTTGGCACTCCTCGTGCAACGTCGTGCAACCCTGATCCTGGAGAGCCTAACCAAGCTGTGTCAGGCGTGTCTGAAAATGAATTGCGGCCAAGAATCTGTTATGTCCAGGGACGCCCCAGGTATCAAGAAGAGCCCACTCAAGAAAAGAGGGCCCCAAATAGTCCAGTTCAATGCTTTCCCGGTAGCAGGGATGCCTGAACACTTTTGGCAAGCAATCAAAACGGACCACTTTGGATAGCCGCTCTTGAACTCAACCTATCATAAACAATCAGCCACGCAGCTGAACAGGTAGAAGACCCACCACATGGTGACCTGCACAGGCATGCACTTGAATGCAGCTGCCATGGTTGCCTAGGCTGCCATGTGAAGCATCTGGGGCAAGTCAAGGAACTTCGCAGAAGTAGTTGGGGTGCCGTGACCAAGCCCATAAGCCAGTCTGGATAAATCCTTTTGCATACGGTCCCATCTCTTCGCCCGCTGCCCGCCGGCGGTACTTCTCCGTCTGAAAAGCGAACATTTGCGCATCTGCAACTGCCTCAGGGCAGGGAAAGGCATGACAGGGGAAGCTTGCAGAGCATCTCCACTGCTCGTGCTCGCATGGCGCACCTCACCCAGGCAGAGGAGCAGGTACAGGACCGCAGACAAAGCATCCAGCCAGGTCAGAGGTTTTTCTGACTGAAGCGCTGCGACAGCTGGAGCGGAAAACGCAAGGATCGCACACCTTCTGGACAAGTTTCTTAAACTTGCATTCCTGCCATTGAGCTTGTTGCCTATAGTACTGCTGTAAGACGTCCCTGGGGTCCCTGGCGTACTGATTATCGCACCAAGGTGCTGCTGGAAGAGGCAGATGAAGACCAGGTTGAAGACCTCCCACTTCCAGCCCGGATACCATCGTCGGATAACGGCCCATCGGTAGTCCTCGTCGACTCAAACAGAACACAGCCGGCTCACCGACTGGTGGATACTAGTGGCTCGCAGAAACTGGCCAGCATCAGCTACTTAACAGCATGCCTCACCGCCACTGAAGCCACCCTTGATCCAGAAGTTGTAGGTCAAGCGGAATCCCCAGATGCCTGAGCTGCAAAAACCGCACTGTCGGGTACCGACTGAGCAGAGGGCTTCTAGCTGAAACTACACTGAAGATTGATGAGCAGGCTGCTAGCGATCACCGTCATGATGAACAAGCGCGGGTTGAATCCGTGCACGCAGGAAGCGCCGAACCAATGCCAACAATAAATCCAAGGCATGAGCGACCAGAGGCGATCCTGGTCACGAACCGTCGGACTAGGACGAATCTTTGGAGATATGGCCATCTGGCTTGGCGGTGGCAACGAGCACCGGGCAGACTGACACTAGACCACACTTGAACACCAGTGCTTCGCCCAGTTTCGACAATTGAAGGGTCGGATGTTCCAGTGGCCGGTAGCGTGCGCAGGGAGATGAACCACATGAAGAGTGCCTCGGTGGAATTGCGTTCCACAGCTTGGGATGCGCCCGCCGGTGTCTCCAAGTCGAATTACTGCTTCTAAATGTATGTAAACATCATGTTCAATGTTCTGAATATTGAAAAATGCCTGTGTTGTAGCATGTTCAACTACATCATCTAGACATACATCTATACTTATTTTGTACATACATATTCATACGCATACAGACAAGTGCACACATGCAGGTATACAGGCCGGGTGGCAAAAGCATCCACAAATACCTGGCCAGGTCGGAGGCGAATCTCGAGATGAGTCAGGTCAGATGCAGCTCTCAAAATTAGCCTGCCGGTATACAAGACATACGACAGTAGAGTATATATACAATATACAATACCACTTTTCGTAGTTAATTGTATAACTCACAACATTCAGGCCAAAGTCGCGATAGTTCGGCCCCAGGGGTCTGCGCTCCATGGGTGCGCCAGGACGCGGAGGGGATCCGCGAGGCAGGTTTGTGCAGACGTGTAAGCATACCTGGGAAGTACAAGGACACTTCAGCATGGCCCCATTCAGCATCTGCAAAATGCATAGACTGCGGCACGAAGCGCCAATCTACTTACAACAGGATGCAACTCTCTCTCATGCAAGAGCCCGCAAGAAGTTTCGGGTTTCGGGTCTAGGGCTCCCTTTCACACGTTTCCACGAGACATCGCGTTCACCAAAACAAGAACTGGCGAGAGTACGAGTGAATGCTCCTGCGACCGCGAGAACTGTTTGGCAAATACATTGTATATGAGATACAATACAGTATATTCTATATATTCTATAATTTCTTACCGATTATATGCTAACCAATTAACAGATATAGAATCAAAATATAAATATGTGCATATAAATATAGATGAAATGTATGTGTGTATATATATATATATATATTACGTATATCTAATGTGTATATGAACCGCACCTGGCTTCCGACTGTGGCCAAGGGACCACACGTAGTGGACGGTGCTCAGCTGCAGCAGGCCGCCTCACAAACTCAAATATGTCGCTGCTGTTTATAAATACATAAATAAATAAAGAAAGAAAGAAATAAATACATATATATATATATGTATATATATATATATATATATCATGTACAATATACGAAGATGTATATGTATACAACAGTTCAATTTCACATAGAATACATTTTTGATCATGTAACATAAGTGCGTATGTATGTGTAGATATATATGTATATACATAAATCCAGCTGACAGTCTCTCTTTCTGCAAAAACAAGCCGTGCCTGCAATAGCCAGGGGGAAGGGGGGCCTCAAAGTGCGTTCGATTCCGAGACTCGTTCATGAAGGAACCACTTTGCGACAAGTAAGACTCAAATTGCTCACCTCTCTGCATCTTGAAAGCTACGTGCACTTCACCTCCAAGGCACCCATCCACAACATGCCGGAGCTCTGTCGACCCAGTTTTCGTCGTCATCCCAGGGAAGCACTTAGGACTGAAGGGAAGCAGTTGAACAGCAGCAGTTGAAAGAGCTATCACCATAGAGTGTGTATTCTGGCATGTGTTGACCATGTTGCAAGGCATTCATGAAGACAAAGAGCGAGTGAGCTGAAAATTTGAGCTGAAAATTGCTGCAAGAGGTGCTGCATCACAGCTACATTGCTACATATCCCGCTCATGTGCGACGATTCCCCTCTGACCGTGCAAGCCATGAAATCGAGGGGCACTCGCTTTTGCCGAATTCTACGCCTCCAGAGTGAGCTTCCAGGAGCGAGTGACACTGCGCGGCCGCAAGTGACTGAACGATGCTCCGAATGCCTGCTAGCCTCTCCTGCCTGCAGATACACTGATACACTGCTCGAAACTGCAAAGCTGTGTGTAGAATCTTCTGTATCTGATCAGCAGATCTCAATATTGTTCACTTGAGGCCAGGCGCCACTTTAACACAGGCAGCCCTCAGGGCTGTGTGTTCTGTTCGATTTTTTCATGCAACCTACTCGCAACATACCCCAACATATCGCAACATGTATCAGTGCTGACAAGACTTCTATAGCAAGCGTATCAGTGCTGACAAGACTTCTATAGCAAGCATGGCGCGCTTTCTATGACTACGCCTCCAGACCCTTACAGCGCGTTCCTGGCTTCCTACGCATCACATAGCCTCATCTGGATCGACCATTTCTCCCTCCTGGTCACTTCGTACCTGCGGAAATGGATGTGTCGACAAGCTCTGCAGGCACAGGAGATCAGCTCTTAGGCGCTTCCGTCTTCTGAGAATTGCTTCCTAGACGTACACATTATTGTGAACTTCCTGCTTCAGAATGAAGAGCCAAGGCAGAAATTGGCAAGATCGGACAGAATCGCTCCTTCTTGCAACTCCTTTTCCATCGACAACCCATTCTGCGCAACTGCACCTTCTCCATTCTCCAGGCAAGCTCTTCAACAGCCATCTGCATCTGGGCCTGTGAGCTCGCACTCTCACTCTACCCACCGCCAGACTTTGAGACACTCAAGAAACTTGGACACTACAAGATTTGGGGGTTTACGAAGATATGGGACCCCTATACAGTCCCCCGAATAGTAGGATTCCCTTGTAATAAGGACCCCTAACAAGATACCCGTAATTTCGGAAACCCCTACTTGCACTTGCTTCGCATGCGCAGCAAGTTTCGGCATGAGATTCCCACAATGCGCTCTGTGACGTCGTGAAGCTCGGACCTCAGCTCGGGCACGCAGAGACTCTGTTTGTGTCCATATGGGTATTTTCCCAAAATCGGGGTACCAGTAATATGCCCCCCAAAATAGTGTAATCCTTATTGTGGGAATCCCCCATAAGGGCACCCCTATGTTCGGAAACACCCAAAGATGGCAAGATGCATTCGGGGGGGGGGGGGCTTAGGATTCCGTGCGGGTTGGGGCTTAGGGATGCCCCTAAACCCTAAACCCTAAACCCTAAACCCAAAAAACCCAAAACACCCAAAACACCCAAAAAAACCCAAAAAACCCAAAAAACCCTAAACCCTAAACCCTAGGGATGTTAGGGTTTGCTGGGGCCCCTGCTTGACCTCGATGCCGACCAAGGTGAGCTCCGAGAGAATTCGCCCGGACCTCGAACCGGAGCTGACGCTTTTGCAGACGTTTGGCAGCTGTGGCAGGAACCAGAAAATCATTATTACTATTATTATTATGATTATTATTATTCTCTTTTCTTACAATTACGGCATATCATCTTCTTCATTCATTTTCTAATATGATCTTAATATTTTCCTATGTTATATTAGTACGCTGCTAGAGACGCGTATTCTTGTGGTCTTCTATTCGTCTACTCTTTTGCTTTAAACTTCTCGAATATGCAAATGTTGTATGTTGTCATGTTAATACATGAATATATGGCTATATATATTGATATAACTTCATGTCATTACATTACTATCATATTCTATTCGTATATTCGTATATTCTAACTTTTTGAAAATATGACTACACTACTACATTCGTGTATTATTAAACTCACTTTTCTGTGTTTGTACATGTCTATATCACTAAATTCATCTAAATTCTTATATAGGCTCAAAATGCTCAACAGTGCTCAAATGAGGGCCGGGCATGTGCTCGATGGCTCGCTTTAGCTCCTTCTCTGACTCTCCAGACGCTGGTCTCTGGTACAAGCCGTAAAGATATACCTAAAAAAAGTATTGGATCGCCCTCTCAACCCTAAGCTCGGATTCAATGGTTCCTCCGCGCCGGGCTTCAACGGCCCTTCGCTGCTGTCATGGCTGAAGCCCGAGTGGCTCGAACTGGGCGAGAGAACGAGCATGTGCTACGGCTTGGTTGCCACTCAGCATTCAAGACCGTGCATGAGCAAACCGAGTGAACAACCGCAGGTCATCATCGGTGGACTTCTTGCCGCCCCTGGCAGCCGAGCTCAACAGAACGTGCAGGTGTGGCACATCGTGGCACAGAATTTCATATTTCTCATGCTCATGGCATGTCCACATGCCGTACCCAGTTTCCCCCGAAAGGACGTGGCGGGGAGCACGCAGCGCTGCCACGCTCGTTCCTGTCCTCCAGTGCCGCCTGCTTGCGCCTTCCCTGCCAAAGGGAGTTGTCTCCAGCCCGCGACAAGGAAAGACATTTATGCGAGTTCTGAGACCATGCATCGGCCATGCATCCTCACCTTATCCCTCCTTTGTGACCAATTACCTGCCTTGCTGGAGGTATCAGAGCCCGCATCGTCATCGGGCGTCGACAACCTACACAAGCGCCAGGCAGTGCTTCCTGCCTCCGTCATACCACGTCTACGCATGCAATGAAGAATACCTGGCCTCTCGGTCATCTTCCGGTATCTCACGTAGATCATGGGGAAGAACCGGATCATTATTCTGCAGGAGTCAAACATGATGTGTGGCAACGAAGTGCTACAGAGAGAGAGAGAGAGCACATCTGTTGCACTTGTCTATAATACGAAAACCTACGTTAGCATGAACGTATATACATACATACGTACACACATACACGCATGCATGCATGCATGCATGCATGCATGCATACATACATACATACACACACACCTTTAAACTTTATATTACGCAGATATAAATAGGTAGATAGCTAGGTAGATTGATAGATAGATAGATAGACAAGCATATATGTGGATGGTACCTAGTACGTAAGTATGCTACATTTGTTCGACGTCGCCTCACGTGGCATGTCTCTGGGCAGGCCTTTGGATGAAGCCACTAACCCTGCGGTACACCTCCTCCAAAGGCTCGTCCTGTCTCAACTGCTGCAACTGTGGGGGCTGTGTAAGGTTGCAGGTGTCGACAGTGTGTCGAAGCAGCAGTGTGGATATGCTGCATGCAGTAGATGAACTGATCTCAGATCTCCGCGGCCGTCCTCATTCCAATACGCCCTTTCGGCATTTCGGGCTTCTCGCTCCTGACGTTCAAACATTCAACCGGCGAAAATTGGCTTTGGGAACAGTTTGCGACAGAGCAGGACTGGAAAGCACCTCGTGAGCTAAGAGAATCGAACGGGCACCTAATGGGCACGGAGGAAACCAGAGAACAATTGGTGAGGAAACCAATCAAAATCTTGAAAAAGAAAAACAAGCTCTGTAAACAATAGCAATGTAGTCAGGAAACAAACCGTGAAACATAACTCAGTAGAATCAAAGCAAGAGGCTGGCATTAAAAAAGAAAGCAGGCACCAAAAAAGAGATGAGACTGGCAGCAGATGAGCCATGACCGGCGGCAGTGGCAGCAGCAAGCCCCCGGAACTCCACTGCAGCTGATTGGTTGCGGCAAGTTTCCCTAATTATTCGTCACACTGTGATTCATGAATCTCGTGTTTATGAACTCATACTTTCCTTTTGTTCCCTCACCCCATGTGTTCTCTGAAGCCATCTTCGCTACCCCGCTACTCGACGCCGTATACTGCTCAGTCCCTGCGAGTACCATGGGGCCTGGACATGTCGCAGCGATCATAAGAACGTGAAAAGAGGAAGTCATCGGATGTCCTTGCTGTACTTTGCAATGAACAACCTCGCAGAGGTCAATTCTGAGAAGGTGAGTTGACATGGGCTATAACGATTTTGGGTGCCGAAGGCTGCCTAGACTCCTAAACTCTATCGGGCCTCGTACTTCAGCAGCCGATGCCACTACAGTCACTACAGTTGCAGTCTCGTGTGTTGAGAACTGGGCGCATCTGCCATCATCGCGAACATCAAGGCAAGCCCAACCTTTGCAAGAGCCGAGCTCAGCTAGAGCGGCTGGTAGGGAATGAATCCTTGCTGGCGTACTTCGACACGCAACTGTGCAGCAGCATCTCTTTTTCAACGGATGTCTGCAGGGAGCCAGCTTCTTTGCAGGAACGGGCACGTGTCCTGGAGCGCCAGCCTCCAGCGACATAGCAAAGCAATTTCACTAAGTGCGCTCAATCGGGACATCCTGAGGTATGGGGTGGGATCAAGGCTTCCTTGACTTAATCCCCAAACTCAGAATGTGGAGGGAGATTGCTGTTTAATATCGTAGTCTTAGCCAGATCCCTGGAAGTCTCTTCGGATTCTCTAAGGTGGGCCCTTCTCATCGGCAGCGTATCCCCTCCTTCCTCGTCTAGGAAGTTTAAACAATTATTTTTTTGAGTCGCTTCTTATCGTTTCTGAAGTACTTTAATACACTCTTGGTGCATAATGTTTGGCGGGGAGGGGGGCCGATTGTTTGGGGGAGGAAGCATAATAAACGCAACACGACCTTACAACAGCAGGAATACTTCTTCAGAGTCCCTGTTCGACGTCCCCTCTGTGCAGGCAGACAGGTTGCAAATCCCCCTAGAGCCCGAAACCTCCGCCGAACCCCAAGCTCCAAGAGCATCCAAGCGTCCATTTGAGCACAACCGCATCCTGGTTTCGATCCCAGACAAAGCCGAAGCCTTACGACAGCTTGCCATGCGAGGAAAGCATGCTTCTCGAATCATGACACACACACACACAAACGCGCACACACACACACACACACAGAGAGAGGCGGAAATTTTGGAAGCGCAATGCATTGTAAAACTTCTCAACCTTCAGGCCCCGAGTCAAGATGGAGAATCAGATTTTGCGGTGTAAACCCAGGCTTAGCACCCCTCACTAATCACTAATTATACACATCCAGGCAACGGTGGCTTCCCACACCCTGGAACTGGACCAGCCAGCCTTGCGCCCAGCTCGGCGCTTGAAAGCCTGCGTAAGCAAAGGCGTGCCCACAAACATCCAACAAAGGCTCGCGCTTCTTGAGGATTGCCAGAGAAAGCATACGGCTTCAAGCTTACTCGGGCTTACTCATGCATACTCTTCCATTCTTATGCAAGTCTCCTGCAGGACTAGTTGCATGCTCGGGCGTTTGATCTGTCCAACCCACCAAATCCCGAAACTCTTGGGTCTGGGTCAGGGCTTTCCCACCACCTTCAGCAACAGAGGGCACTGGGGGGATTGCAAGGGCTTTCTGTTCACACTGCGGCGGAATATGGTCGAATCACCCACAACTATTCTCAGTCCACCTCCTCTCTGGGTGGTGATTACTGCAATCTTCTACCAGACTATTTGACGGGCCTGGCCGCGCCAATGTTCCAAAGCCTCGCCAGGATCGCACGACATCCTCCCAGAGCCCCGTCCTTAGCGGGCTCGTCATGCGATAGTGACACGTGGTGGACATCTCCTGGCTCGTAGCATGCCATGCTGAAAGACTTCCGCCTTCCGATCACCTCCCTGTGTATCCGGATATCCAGCTTCTGAGACCGATGTTGTCGGATGTTGTCAACTCTGCCCCGTCACTTGCGGCTGCGTGTCTGCCGATTCAGTGTGCGCAGGGGGCGCTGTCCCTGGGCACCCAGCAATGCCTCGGCCTGCAAAACTACGATGAGTAACAACAGTGCAGCAGCACTGATATGAACTGCACGTATCAACACGAATCTACTCGTTAACTGTTGCTTCCACATGAGTCTAAAAGAACTGGATGCGGTAATATGACACCCACAATGCCTCCGGCGGAGAGCACACGGCCACAAATGTGGTCGCGCCGAGAGGCACGTGGATGTCCTCGGCCACACAGCAAAAAAAGCAACAGATACCCATGGCCAGGCGTTCTCCAGCAATGTCAGCATTCACCACGGAAGTGGGACTTAGAGAAGAGAGTTTTAGGGTCTGAGGAAGTCAGGATGGTTGCTATGAGTGTTTTGAAGCGTTTTGGGTGGTTGGTGGTTCAGGTTTGAGGTTGAGATGGGTATGTAGGTTTTTAGGGTTGAGGTTTAGTGGGGGTCAGGGTTCCTGGGTGGAATAAGGTTTAGGGCTGAGTCCGAGTTGAGGCCTTCAGCTTCTGCAGGCTTTACGGCTTGGGGGGGGGGGGGGGGGGCAGAGATGTGTTTTGGGGTTGGGGCTTGGGTGCAGGGCTTATGGTTCGGGGAATGGGCTGAGGGTGTTAGGTTGAGGATTGACGTCCTAGAATATGTATACTTTCCTAAAGAAAAAACACAAACATAGACATTTACGATTTTATTGATGTACAACATATATTGTATTGTATAACAGCTGGTAGATGATTTGAATATTTAGTATAGAATCAGAGTAGAAAAAACTTTGTGTATATATATATATATATATAAATGTATGGTACCCCCCCCCCCAGTGACCTACCCTTTTTCGCCTTGTCTCAAGTCACCCAGCTGCACTGCAAGCAAACTCGGTGTGCAACATAGCGTGTTTCCTAGGGCGTAAACGAAAATACAACTAAAATCGCATACACGGGACAGTCGAAAAACCAAACACACCAAAACCAAAAAACCAAAAAAACCAAAACCAAAACAACCAAAAAAACCAAAACCAACAAAACCAAAAAAAAAACAAAAAAACAAACAATTTTCCGGAACTCTCAGGAATCCCTATGAGGCTTCTCCAAGAGTCCCGGGAAATTGGTTTTCTTGGTTCTTTTGGTTTTTTTGGTTTTGGTTTTTGTGGTTTTTTTGGTTTTGGTGTTTTTGGTTTTTTTGGTTTTGGTATTTTGGCTTTTTGGTTCGCCTTCACGGTCACGAAGCAACAACTACGCATTTTAAGTGTGCTTATGCTAATTGTGCTTTTCAGAAATAGTATACAAGTGGTCTTCATTACTTGGTGTTTTGGTAGCTAAATTCGCATGGATACTAGTTGCCTGGTAAAAGTGATTAATTATCTAGAAGCAGCATTTGCAATACTTGTCTTGAGAAGAAGCATTTATTGCTTAAAATTGTTTGCTTAAAAAGTTCCTTCTGCTCGTCCAGGGATACCCCAAAACCCTATAATCCAAACTTCACCAGAGATTCTCCTGACTAGCTTGCGCTTTTGGATGTTTTTTTGTATTTGTGAATTTGCTTGTGTATGGCCTTCACTAAATACTTTTCTAGGATTCTTGTGCATTTTTTAGGCCTGATTGTGCAAGTTGTGTTTTTCAAACATAGTTTGTAAGTGGTCTTTCTTGAATACTTCAGACATCTTTGTTTCATCGTTATGTAAGTAGAACCGCTTCTATTTCCATTGTTGTGCATTTTTAAGCTTGCTTATGCAAATTGTGCTTTTCAGAAATAGTATATAAGTGGTCTTTATTGAATACTTCAGCAATATGTGTTCCATTGTTATGTAGGTAGAACCGCTTCCATTTCCGTTAGTGTTTATTTCGTATTTGGTTGAGTATGGTCCTTTAAATAGTATTCACTTGAGTCAAATTGGCCTATTTGCTTAAGAATTACTCTAGTAGTTACATTCGCACAGAATGAATATTTCAAAAAAACTGTTTCATGATTATGTAAACATAAGGTATTTCAGTGGACTTTGCAGATAGTATTTCAATAATAAACACAACTGTTCCAATGCATTAGTTGCTCAACAAAGCACTATTTGCCCTATAAACCACACTTTGCCATATTTTGGTTGAATATGATGCTTATTTCGTATTTTGGTTGAGTATGGTCCTTTAAATGGTATTCACTTGAGTCAAATTGGGCTATTTGCTTAATAATTACTCTAGTAGCTAAATTCGCATCGAAAGATGATTTCAAAAATATAAAGATTTCATGAATATGTAAACATAAGGTATTTCAGTGGACTTTTCAGATAGTATTTGATTCATACTTTGCCTAGCACAAACACAATTGTATAAATACGGTAGTTGCTCAACAAAGCAATCTTTGCCCTTTAAACGCACACTTTGCCATATTTTGGTTGAGAATGGTGTCTATTTCGTATCTTGGTTGAGTATGCTCCCTTAAGTAGTATTCACTTGAGTCAAATTGGGCTCTTTGCTTAATAAATACTCTAGTAGTTAAATTCGCATAGAATCACGAAAAATGTTTCACTATTTGATTAATGCTTTGCCTCGTGCAAACACAAACTGTATGAATAAATTAGTTGCTCAACAAAACATTAATTGCCCTATAAACGCACAAGGTGCATAGAAAAAACACAGATCTAGAAATCTAAAACAGCATTGTCCGCTTCAGATTCGAAATGTAGATTAATCCAATGCCGGCTTATCGGGGTCTGTGAGGTGGGTGTCCCAGTAACTGTCCTTCATTACCTGGTGATTAACTACGCGGCTTTGGGCCTTCGTTGCTATTTTTTGTTAAAAAGGCCTACAAAGGCCTAAAAAGGGTAGGTCGCTTGGGGGGGGGGGTAGCATATATATATATATATGATGTTAGATGCAATTTTATGTGTATATATATATATGTCAATGGAGAAATATTGGATAGTAAGCAATTGGCAATATACAGGTGATAGACAACAGATAGTTTCATACTCACACATATGTACTGCAAAACATCTTTTACACAAAAGTATGGAGGGGGTTAAGGGGATCGCTGTTTAGGACTCGCGGTCATTGAAGGCTGCTGGAGGCATCAGGCGTATGATCGTTAAGGTCCCAGGGTTTAGGATGCGGTTGTGGAAAGCATAACGCAATTTACAACTGTTGCGAAATTACCCTTCTCGCAGGGATGAGGTCCCAAAGGCTTGGGATCTGGGACTCAGGATTTACAGGCCCCGCACAAGAAGTCTGCCATTGCACAGAGTGTCGCCGCATTGCTTGATGCCACGCATGAACGCAATCCTGAGCTTCAAAGCCCAAGGCAGAAGTTCGAGAACTGAAAGTATCTTTCGCGGCATGCTGGCAGTGCACTTCGCAAGCCCCAGCCCTTCTGAAGGCATTTGGTAGACATTCAGCTCCTCCCTCCACACTTCCGCACATGCTCCAAACATGAATTCAGCGCATCGAAGGCAGCGATGTGACGTGCAGCAAAAAACACAATTATGCCTACAGGGTGTACAGCTTGGCTACTGTCACAGCTACAGAAAGTATGGAGCCGTGCTTGAACCCTGCGATGCCGGGCCACGGCTGGCCCAAGGCTGCCAGCGCTTCAAGCTGTGCCGGTGGCTTCTCACCGCGCGGCCGCGTGAAGAGCCGCCGCGGTACCTTCTGGAAGACCTAGGGATCCATCCTCCTCTTAGCCCTTCTGAACCGCCGAAATCCGAGCCCCATCCATCCCACTTGGGGTGTAAAGTCTTTTAAACAAGCCTCCTCACGGTAAAATGTGCAGGGTTGGCGAGCTACACTTCTGCATGAGGATACAGCCACCGATGAAAACCAGCAAACATGACCTGTTCTCAGTTGCACAGGAGAAATAACTGTGAACCACTAAGTTTATGCGGTTTTGCAACACTTAATTCTGCTTTATGCTTTACACACCGGCGCTGGTTCCTGAATATCTCCCTCACATTAGGAGGAGGTCCGTATTGAAAACCGAACACTATGCAATGCTTTTGCAAACCTTGATCTAGAAAGTCAGAACCTTGACCTCCCTTGCTAATAACAGGCACCTTGCGCCTTGTGAGGCAACTTAAGCATCGATTCGGTAATTATGGATCACGCCTGAGCCTCTTCCCGCAACTCTTCCGCGGTCAGGTGCACATAGTCCAGGAGCAGCACTTCGGTGCGAAACTGCCCTGAGCTCAGGACAACGAGAGGGAGTTTGGGCGCAGACCTACAGCCGGGAAGCCTCTGTCATCAGGACATTTCACTATCGCACAACTACCAAACACCGCACTCACGGGATCTTGCGGCACTTGGCAACTGGAAGCTGCAGCAGAACTTCTGCAATCTTCTGCACAATTGTACGTGACCACAGCTTCGTTGCCGTTGCATGTTGCACGACACTTCTCAGCTGGCGCATGAAAAGGATCCTGAGGATGTCCTTCCACCGACTTGAGTCTGAGCCGCCATAGATGTGGTGCCCGTAATCCCCGACGTAGAGGCCAGGTCTGAGTCTGGGAACAGTGGGATCCAGAGGCACAAACCTCAGCTCAGAGGCTCACAGGACAGCTGCAAGAGCAACAGCCTTGGACTCCCAGAGCCGAGGTGCTCGTCTGGGCTTCGGATCAGGGCTAAGTCGCACGGAAACCTGGGCATGGGACGTGGGATATCAGAAGTCGCACCCTAGACAACAGTGTGAGGTGTGAACATCAGGCAACCACCTCGCCTCTCAACCAACTTTGCATAGGAAATTGCCCAACGACAGGTGCAGAAAAGAGATCTTGCGTGCAAACACAACCGGAATTCATTGCGCTGACTTGCTGGGGAGTGAACGCTCCAAACATGTCACGCAGCATGTCCTGCCCAAGCTGTATCATGGGCATTGCATGGATCGGCCTCCTTCACGGATTTCCCAAAAAGCTTTTGAAAGCATTGCCCAGAAACTGCACTCCGTGCCTCAGCAAAATTAACCTAACCCTGCTAAGCCTGAATCATAAAAAAACGGTGCCTCGGTGCGTTGGCGAAGCGACTCCTCTGCAAAAGAAGATCGGCTAGGAGGCCTACATTGGGAAACTTCCTGTTGAAACTCGCTGTGTTGAGAGAGTTCTTAGTGCCACGTGGAGGTATCAAGACGTCTTCCATGACTGACAACACCCACTGTGACTCCTCTGATCTGTCCAGATCGCCAACCCTCCAAGATGCGCCTCATCTGATGAAAAACGATGACAGTTGATAACATAATGACTTGAGCTCTCTCCTCACGTTTGGCTCAAGATTTTTAAAATGGTTAGTAGTTAGTAGTCTAGAAGTTGCATGCTACGACACCAACTCGCGAGCTTTGCGGCACCCACTGGAAACAGCCATCTGCCCTAAACCCCAAACCCTCAAACTCGTTGCATCTCTTCCTGGCTCTCGGCTTGCAAGGCGAGAAGCTGGAACACACTGGCCATCGGGCCTGGAATGCAAGATGGCCGCTTTGCCTATTAAGCACTCGAACGCAGACTCGTCAGGAGATCACGCAAACTCGCTCGAATTGCCCTGCCTGTCCGTGCTCATCCATTTCCTGTGACAGAACGACTGCAGAAAAGCCAACGCCAGGGGCCCTTAGGGAGAACGCTGTGTCCGCTATGTCGGCACGCAAGTCAAGTAGGACTGTCCTCGTCACTCTGATCTTGGAGAAAAAGAGCATTCGGCGGCCCAGCAACTGCAACAATTTATGACATGCAAATAAGGCCATGACAGGGCGCATTGCTGACTATTGCGGGCACACCCGCCCTTTAATTTTGGAGACTTTGTACCCTAAAACCTAAACCCTAAACCCTAAACCCTAAACCCTAAACCCTAAACCCTGGGGGGGGGGGGGGGGGGCCTGCGCACTAAACCGAGTCCAACATTAAACCCTAAACCCTAAACCTAAATGAGCATTCCCATGCTTTGATAAGACGGTGCCTGGGCCGTCGGGGCTGTAGCCGGCCGAGGCTCGGGCCTGCTGCGCCTGTCAACGCAGCAGCAGAAGCAGCAGAACCCTACGAGATTATACTCTGCGATGCTATGTTGTGCGATTATTACAAAAGAATCCTACTATGTTATACTACATCAGACCAATCTTTCTACTATTCTGTACTTGTTTTCTACTATGATACTGTATTCACTGTCTCAACCTCCGATCTGAAAAGCACAGACCTCGGGGACCAGGCGAATCCCGCGGCGAGGTGCAAACAGCGAAGCCTCTTGCAGGCTCTGAGAATCTTGGGCCCTATATTAAATGCAGCAACAGAACTTCTCTAACCTTTATGATTGCTAGTCTTTTTCCGTAGTATCAACATCGTTAGTATGATGACAATTCTGACCTACATATATATATATACATAGATATATATGCTAACCCCCCCCCCTCCCAAGACCAACCCTAACTCTAAAAAAGGCATTCTTGTAGGTTTGTCTCCTGGTATTAAGAAGGAAACCTATTCCCGGACTCGATGGAACTGTAGTGAAGCCTCGATAGAATTGTAGGGAAGCCTCGGGGCTTAAAGATTTTCATGTATGAGTCGTGACGAAGTAGTATAAAAGTGAGCTGAATTCCTTAAGACATGCATATGACTACCCGTGTCATGTATGTATATAAGGTAATGTGTATTGGATATGAAACATAAATAATGGAGAAAAAAGGATGACGGTACTCCTCAGACCACAAGACTAGGAAGCATTCGAGGGCATAGGGTGATGCGAAAAAATCATTGCATGCAAGCCCCGGACGCGAGAAGACTGCGAGAAAAAAATATTCAGTATGTTCGGGCTTAGAAATGCCTTTGTTTGTGGGCCTGCCTCCCACATCATGTATGAAAAAAGGGAATATGCACTCTAAACAAAATACAGATACTGGAGCCTATGGAAGTTGCAATGAAGAGGTAGAAGAACTGCCCACATCATCTACGTATGTAGGGAATCTGTACTGTAAGCGAAATACAGATACTGGAGAAGAAAGGATGATATGAGGATTATAATGCGGGGTACTATCACCCCTATCAAGGACCATTAGCCTAAGGGGGAACATCCCGAATGGTAACCCTTGAACCATAAAACTTGGAAGTATTCGAGCACAAGTACATGAATTTGGTTCCGTCTCCAGGTCACAATCTCCCCCAACATCAACAAACAAAAAAACATGGGGGACTAGTCCCCAGGTCTGGGTTATAGTGTCCCACTTTGTTTTTTTTTGTTTTGTTTGGTTTTGGGCGGAGTTGCTTTTTTAATTCCGTCTCCAGGTCACAGTCTCCCGCCTCCCCCAAAACCAAAAAGACCAAAAAAACAAAAAAATTGGGAGACTAGTCCCCCAGGTGGTCCAGATCATGGTGTCCCATTTTTTTTGAATTTGTGTTTCTTCTGGTTGTTTTTATGTCTGAAACCCAAACAACTGATCAACGACACGGCACTTAAGACTTGCCAAACACACCTATGCCGGGCGCGGGGCCTACATATTTCAGCCTTACCACCTGATCTTATGGTAAACACCCGATTCCGGTAAAAAAAATCGCCTTTAAACACCGGAAACCTCTGTTTCTCTAATGTAAAACCAAGGTACGTCTTAAATCCTGCGCCCGGCAATATGTATGTATATATATATATATATATACATATAATATATTTATAGACATATATATATATACACATATATATATATATATAGTTATTTATCTTTTTATTCATCTGTTTATTTATGCTGATATGACTGAGCGGTAGTAGGCCTCGGGGCCGGGGGAGGGGGAGGGACCATATAAAGTAGAAGATTTCCGGGTTGAACACTTCTGACTCAAAAGCTCTGACCCTTCAAGGCTGGAAACACGTATTCATCACAGCCAGCTACGCAATACCACACATGCCCCACAGTTACTTCATGACAAGTGTTAACAACCTTGACAGCTCACGACACCGCAACCAAGTCCCTCCCATAGTCCCTCCCCACATGACCTCAGCAAGTCGACTGGAAGAGAACAATCTGGACGCCTGGGATAGAAGCTCAGGGATACGATGTGTCAGGCTATTCGAAGATTTCCTCTGGGCACGTCCATCTGCTGCTCTCTACGCTTTGCTGTCAGGATGAGAGCTCAACCTAATGTTGCCTCATTCTCTGATACTTTGTAATAGCAGCCTACTCTGCGCTTCGGGTTGTTGCGAACCGGAGTTCAAACCACAGAAGCCCTCGGAAGAGCGATCCCCTCTCACTCTTGGGCCCCGTCCTGCGTGTATGCCGCGATGGCCTCCACGTCCATTGGTGCCAAGCTGGCCTCACCGGTGAACCAAGTCGCCGAGACGGAGCTCCTGAGGCTTTGGGTACGGCTCAGGATTTAGGGCGAAATATTGGGATGCTCTGACTATACTCACAATCCTTAATAGGAACTATAGTACCCCCTGTTGTAATCCCAATTACGGACTGTTAGTATAAGGGGGAACACCCAAATAGGGTATAGGGAGGGCATTAAGATTTGAGATGCAGCGATCCTGATTTCACCAGGCCTGTCTTCCAAGATCGACACCTTGGCTAGCACTACCATGAGAACTTCCCGAATCCTAAACCCTAAACCCTAAACCCTAAACCCTAAAGCCTAAACCCTAAACCCTAAGAGATCGTCATTCCTGACCATGAGGCAGCTGCAGCCAAGAAGCTTCGAAAAGAGGCACCTTGCAGGAGAAGCCATGAAACACACTGCTGCAGCTGCTTCGTGTTAGGGCTTTGTTCAACCGTAATGAAGGGTGTCTTCGGGCCTCTGCAAGCTCTACGACGCAACGAAGAGTAGTGTTGAGCCGACTTGACCACACTTCCTTCCTTCTGCGCACCTGGACCTCCGCAAAGCTGCCATCATCTTTCGGCAGGAAGCGCACAACGGATCCACAAAGGCGGCCCTCCACGATACCTCGGTGTCAGAGCTTTAGTGGGCCAAGAGGGACTTGTTGACTTTTTCGTTTCTCGATTCCAGGAGTTCTTTTCCTTGGATCAAGGTTAAGCCCTTCCCCCTTAACAAACAATAATACAAAATATTATATATATGGAAGGACTGCTGCAACCGGCCAACACAGCGAACGAATCATGAGCATAATGAGCATTGTTGACATCTGATTCTGCGAGCTGCCGCGCTCTCTAAACTCACCGAAATCCAATTAAAGTTGCTCTTGCTTTTGCCTGAGAATGAGATGGCCATTGGGTCGGAGTGCGCAGCAGCGCTACGAGGCCCCAGGGAAAGGCACCGGCCAAGACGTAGAAGCCTAGCAGGGCGCGGTGCGTCTGTCGCGCTCCGAACACAGAATTCCTGTTGGACGACGCCCTGCCGCCACCAGACCAGAGGACCGATCCGATTGCAACGTAGCCACTCATTTGACACCATTTCGTCAGTGATTTAGTATTGGTAAATTGGTAGTGTGTCTTTTTGGAGCACCCATATGGTTCGTCACGGCGCTCCATAAATATTCTTCGTGGCTTTTCCCACGAAAGGACAGGCATTTTACGACGGCGGCAAAGAATGCAATCGCCTTGTCATAATGTGTTCATGGGGGGGGCTCTTTTCCCTCTTTGATGCTGCAGGCAAAGCCCGGTTAGAATACAAGTCTCTCAGAGGGGCTGTTTAGCACAGCATGAAGCAAAGGGCAAAGGATAAACGCCCAATCGCACCCTCTTGATCTTGTTCTGGTAACTAAAACTGTCAAGGCTTTGAGTGCATTTTGTTACTATTTTGTTCTGTGTTCTGTCGCACCTTGTAAGTGCACATCGAATGACAGAGCTCTTCATCGGATCGCGGAAACCCTCAAGCACATTTGTCGACTATTGGGGTCGACTATTGACCAGAGTGACGCTGCCGGCAGCCTGTGGACCCCGCCTTCCAGTGGCATCCATTGCTCCAATGCCCGGTACAGGCCTGGCGAATGACAAACGCATGAAAGGCGCCCAAAGAGAAGCAACTGGAAACAAAACTCAGCTCTACACACGCCGGCTAGGCAGACGCAGAGCCATAGAGCAGATGCAGGTCATTTGTGTCAAGCTCGCTACAACCCTGCTCTACATGAGACACGGTTCTTGCGACTGTGAGGCATGTGCGCCGCTCCTCGTGCTGACAGCTTCGGCCACTCCTTCAGCCTCTCATCCGTGGCGTACCAGTACCTGAGCGCATTTTGCGCATTGATCAACATCCTCCAGCAAGACGAGATCAGACGAGACCCGCCCTGCTCCCAAGCGAGAAGTCCATCCTGAAGAAAAACTGATGTGCTTGCAGAAAGAGTTGCCGTTGACAAAGGTGCCACCACGCACCCTCCTGACTTACGTGCGGCTTCCTTGTTTCAACGACTCATCTCTGCTGACACTGACTGCCCTAAGTGCATGTCCTCGTCCAGAAGTGCCGCGAGGTCTTTGCACAGAACTCCTGATCTGTCAAGCCGAACAGCCTTTCTTGCAGTACAGCAAAAGAACTCCCACTCCGAACGCACTGATAAGCCAAGGTGCCAAAAGTCGTAAGCCGCTGCGAGTTGTGCGTGATGCAAGAGAGAACTTCCGCCAGAACTTGGGGTGGAAGAGTAGATAAAGACCTAGTCAGGCAAAGTGGCTGTCCAGTGATGGTTGGACAAAGGCTCTGGACCCTGGACAGCTCCTCAAAAGCCATCTCCATGTGCGAAGTGGTCCGGACTTCGGCAGTACTGGTATGTTACACATATTCGGACCCGAGTCACTCCGCATCCCAAAGGTCCCGTGTACCCAACGTGTCCCAAGGTGGACCGAAAGCCTCGAAATCAGCCTCTGATTGCTTTGAGACTGCTCCGGCATGGTTCGGGCGCTGGCATCAGGATACCAGTGCAAGGCCCATGTTTGCAACTAAGGCGAACGAGAACTTTGGCAAGATCACGCGCTAGCTTTCAGCAGTTCGGGTGTGCAGGGAGTGCTTGCTGCTTTGGCTAGCTCTCTCTTCAAGTTCCTCCTTCTTTCTTTCTTTCTTTCTGAGGGCATGAGGGCTTCCCTCTCTCTATTCTCATGCACAGGCACACTAAGTCACTTTGAATGGAGAAGCTCTTCATCAGAAGGGGACAAACCCTAGATTCTAGATGCCATGAGAGGGCAGCTGAGCTTGAACCCATATGGAACCACGCATCAGCACAACAACATGAAGAGTGCACCGCGCAGAGACATGGACAACTAGGCCTAAACTCTGTGCTCAAGCAGTTTCGAGGCGTCAACAGCGATCATGTTCAGGTAGAAGAGCAAGATCAAGCCAGCACCGAAAAGAGGCGTGATGTCGTACCTCAACTGTTCTACTCTACCAAAACTCTTCATTGTAGCACAAAACTGTGGGACACAATAAGATATCAATATATGAGAAAGTACAACGCACTATGATATGCGGCGATGTAATCCACCTGAGTATACTAGAACCGTCAAAAGGGTTCTGTGGCTCTATAATGTGCGAAAGTATGCTGTGCAAAATAAACTTTGATATGCCATCAAGTTCCACAAAATGCAATGATCTAGTATCATATAGTCTGATCTACGATCATCTACCGTAATCTGCTAAAGTGTACGTACTAGATGTACAAAAACTATAACTTGCCAGCAACTCTTCTTCCACAGTGACTTTGGATGCTTTTCCGACTTGCGCTAGGGCGCTCACCTCTTCTAGAAAATTGGTCACTTATTCATTAGCCCTAAAGCCCTGAACCCTAAACGGCCCTAAACCCTCTCAACCGTAGATCCTAAACCCCTGCGTTAACCACAACACTGAAGGACGTCGGAGTTGACATGCACAAAGGAGCAACGCTTGGCAGCAGTGAAGCCACCATGAGCAATGCTGATGATTCTGATGAAGATTTAATGTTGTACTTAGCAAACTTTTACTCTGCAATTTGCTTCCAAGAGCTCGTTCCGTAGCATATATCTACACACGCACACAAACAACGTGGAGAGAAGGCATCGGCTGCTGTAAACAAGCCTGGCTTGATTGGGATTGAACCGGAGAGCCCAGCATTCACTGGGCCACCCACACAGGCATGAGCTGAACGTCCTTCAAGAACGCCCGGCACCTAGGCGAGGGCACCAGACACTTGGCATTCGTTTGCGCGGCTCGTGGCTCATATTCATGATTCCATTCACGCGTCAAGCTTGCCGAAAGCCCGAGTTTACCCAAATGCTCTGACAGTACGCTGAGCCCCCAGCAAGTATACCGCTGAGGTGGTGAAGTTCGCTAATTCGGCGACCTTGTCTCCAAAGCCTCGACAGAAGGTGCCAGGTAGGTGCTTTTCAAACTTCGAAGTAGATCTTCTTTGCCAACGTCGCCTACGTTGAAAGCCATGACAAAGCCGACCAGGGCGACCCCGAACATGATCAGGAAAGGCAGGAACCTTCAAAAGATGCCAAGACAGCGCTTCACATGACTTTGGAACTGCAGGTCTTATGCTCTTCACTGGAGCTCCCAGTGGTGCCATGCTCAGTGTTGGACAGGTCAAAAGCCGTCCACACCGTTCGGATCAAAGTCTGCGAAGGGAGAGCATTTGCTGGGAATGCGCTGCCCGTACCTCCCCTTATACGACACAAAAGGCAAACTAGAACGTCGTCCTCCCAACGTCATGAGTGACACTTGTCAGAGCCGCTGGTGCAGCCCACACTTCATTAAACTGTCGTAGACGGTCGCCCATCGTCGTCCGGAAAACTGAACAATTGGAACACTGGACTCTGGTCGAAGCTCCTTCACCAGGGGCAAATGCCGCAAGTACTTTGTCACCTTGCCCCAAAGAAGAACCTGCAGCAACAAAAAGCAGCATAACTCCCACGCACTGTGTGGTAGACTATGCATTTGCCGCTTCTGGTCCCCGGCGCAGTTGAAGGCGTTGAGGACCCGAACCTCATCATGCTTGCTGGCTGAATTAGTTTCGCCCTGGCCCAAAGTTGTAAATTTCAGCTAGTTTGGCGCAGCTAGTATATGTAGCACCGGCTCGATTTTTTGATTGCTAGGGAGCAGGCTGTCGTGGCCGCACTGGCCAGAGCGGAAATATTCTGGAAGGAATCCTTGGCAACTTGGGCCAATCAACATGGGGTCAACCTATGGTGACTTGCTGCTTGGATTTCTCAGCCAGGGCATGCTGCAGTTGTTTCCTTAGTTTGAACCTTCTGATTTATGGCTGGCGTCATCGAGTTCAGAGATGTCAATGGCATCTATGGTGTGAAATAATAACCCATGCTGACCACAAATGTGCAAACATGGCAGCTCTCTAGATTAAAGTCCCGTCTGGAACTCCTACTGTATACCGTGCAGTTTCGTATTCAGGGAACCCAACAACGCACCATCAATTAGAGAGCTGATCAAACGTTTCCTGAGACTGGCGACCTTGTTGGCCAGCTGCTCAAGCCCCACATTGGTGTTGGCTGCCTGGAAGGCGAAAACTGGCAACTGGCAGTCGCAGTGCTGGCACGCCCTGCTCATTGGCGAACATTCGTAGAATACATAGATACGAAATAGTTCCGAAAGGATCAACCATTTCAAGTACCAGTACACTGCCAGACTGTTTCGTTTCCTATGATAATCGCAACTCTAGCAATCTTACGACGACCTTTCTATGACAACTATCCTTCATGGCATCGCGTGCGCCGTGCAACGGGGGAACCAGGTCTCTGCCGCAGGGTGTAGTGACGAGTACTGCAGTGAGTACCGGGAATGATTCGGAATGACACATAACCTGGCTCGCCTCGCATCCGAGATGATATAGCCATAAAATCCTACAACTACGAAGAGACAATGCAGCTGCACATAGCTACACAAAGCATGCCAGACCGGCGTCAGAGAAAAGCAACATGCGCAAGGTGAAGCCGATGAGCAGCAGGACCATGTTGGCCTTCGCAAGACTCTTGGCAGCAGTGGAGCGTCTGGCTACCGAACCGCTCGCACTGAGCTTGGATGTGGCTGACAATGCAACACTCGCTTCAAGAACTTGGAGGGGCGCCCAATCTAGGAGGTTCCATGCATCCTCAGTCGCTCTCTAGGACTCTACAACTGACGTGCATTGTTGGCAACATGGTCTGCATTCTTCATCATTTTTTCATGCGCTTGTTCAGAGTGGTTGGGTCCATGCTGGGCTGCTCACGAAGAAGTAGGTACGCCAGCTGCCATACAGCTCTTGGGCTTCCTGCCACACTTTGATGCCGGCTGCAGGCGAGAGCCATACTAGCCAGACATCTGATTCCTTTGGGATGTGCCTCGAAGATAAACTGAACCACAAAGATCATGACCAAGATCAGGAGGACGAACGCAAGCCTCATTGCAGCATGCAAGCCGACTCGAAGCATCCCTGACACATACTTCACGACCACCCCCCCCCCCCCACCCCAAACCTTGAGAAACTCCATGATTGGCACTTAAACGAAAAGAAACGGAGCTCTACCTGTTCAGTCGTAGTTCCACCTCTTGCCCCTCCCAAGGCCCCGACCAATCCAGCGCTGTTCCAAGGCCGCCCACAGTCTGCAAGATCACAGTCCACAAGCTGAACCCTAAACCCGAAACCCTACACCCTAAACTACTTCTTCATCTTCACTACACTTCATTGCACTTCACTCCAGGACAAAACCCGCTTTTTCAGCTCCAGGCCAGCACGCGCTCGGTCATGGTGCTGATCATTATCTGTCAAAGCTGCGCTCCCATATTTCTCAAGGCATCGAAGGGACTCTTGACATGGACATGGGCCTCCTGTGCGGTGCCTCCACTCGCCCCGAACTCTACGGCGAAGGAGACTACCGCATACCTAAGGCAGGTTGAGAAAAAGGGTGGCAGATCGTTGTGGTCAGCTACTGGCACAGTGGCACACGTTACCAGGCAACAGAGCACTTGGTTAGGTGTCATCGACTTTGCTCTCATTCGGCAGCGTGTCGGATTGGAAAGGCCGAGAACGTGCCAATCGGCCGCAAAGCCCGCTGCACTGGCTCTTCGCCAGCGGATGCCAGAGGCATAAACATGTGCCAGTCATTGCCAGCAGGGTGGCTCAAATGGACGTCTGAGGCCCCAGCAAGCCAATATTAGAGTTCCAGATGTTGAGCTCGGCAAAGAAGGCACGAGTGGCTGCATCCATGTAGCCCTTACAAGCGGAAGCAACTCTGCCTGAACCTGTCCTAACCATAGTCTTCCATATGTTTTCATACGCTATGTTCGCAGCCGTTCAAGTTCAGTGCATCAAATGACCATATACATCTTTCCAGCCTTGATTGCACGAAAATGGCAGGTATCGTGAAGTCGACAGTTCTCCAGCGTTTTGGGTTTTCTACTCTGACATGCCCCGCCCACCCCTGCCCCACCCCTGCCCCACCCCCCCCCCCCAATCCACGCCCCACACCCTGAATTACAAACCCGAGCCCCGTAGAGAAGCATCCTATACTGTCGTGAAGTCCCGGCTAGTCTTATCTCTGAAAGCCAAACAACGCAAGGGGCAATGGGCTCTCATGTCCCGAGAGCAATCACGGGAAGCGCTTGAAAGATCTTGAATGGCTTGAAAGAGGAGTGGCAAGGAGTGGTGGTCAGATGTGCAAAACTCCATGACTCTCGGTGCGCTTGAAGACTTGGACTCCGCACGTCGGCTTTGAGCTGCTGGATTTGCTGCATGGCCTTGCGAAAAAAAATTGCCCCGGAAAAGTGGCCCGGAGATCTGCGCGCCGTGAGACAGAAAGCCTGAGTGAGGTTGGAGGCAAGCAGCTGCATGAAGCCATCTGCCGAGTACCTACAGGTCTGAAGAGTTAATCCCAAGGAGGGCGCAGAGCTGCTGTTGCTGAGCTTCCCAGACCACTGGAGCGCACGAACCCAGCGCGCCCGTGTAGGGGATGCCTGTAAGGTCCTCTGAATAAGTGAACCTTGCGAGAAAGGTCACAACAGCCCTGCGCATTCACTGGATGCAACGCGCCTCTCTTGGGGACCGTAGGCTGTCATGCTGGCTGTCCCTGCCAAGGTGAGTTGATTGGAGGATTTGGACTCGGCGTTGAAATAAGAAGTTCGTCAAACTGCCCAGCCTGGGCTGTAGTTGGGATAGCAGCTGACCTCCCAGGGCAAGGGTTGACCAAAACATCATGCTCGAATCGGCAGCGTTGCTGCTGCTCATGAGCAGACATTGCATCCGAAGAAGCATCACGTTCCGAGCTCCGCGCAGTATACTGCTCAAACAACGGGAGCACCTTCAAGCCATCAATCTCCGCATCGAAGAATCGAGCGAAAGGAGTGAAAGCAACGCGCTGCGAATTAAGATCTGCTACAAGCGTTCCACCGTCTGATGTGCAACATTGTGCAACGGAGGAGCTTGGCAGTCTTGCTGGAGATTCACGCGCACCTGTCCACAGGTCATAGTGAAGCGCGACAAGAAGGGGGAACCAAAAGTCAACATCAAGCCTGTGCCCCACAAGACGCAAGGAGTACTAAGGAATCCGCCTTATTCTCAAGACCTAGGACGCAGGAGCTGCCTGACGCAAGCGCACGGTGCCCAGCATCCTGTTGGCAATGTCGATGGGCCGCAGATGCCTGAGTTTGTCCAGTTGTCAAAGAAAGCCCTGTAGCTTCCAATGGCTTCCAATGTCCTCATTCGTGAAGGCTTCAGGCTCGAGACCCGGACGGAGAAATGCTTTCTGCAAGCTGAATGTCAGTGGAGTTCTTGTAGAGTGCCGGGACGAACACCTGAGAAGCGCAACCCGGCCCATGCTGGAAGGAAAACCCAACAACTTGACAACGTCGAGTACGCCAACGCACGTGAGCCGCGTCTCTGAGATCCCTGCGTCCTCCAGGTACGCATACAGGGTATCCACGTCAGTGATCCGCGTGATCGGATGATGCGTAGGGTTCAGTTTCTGCAGCAGCGCAAGAGGAATGATTAGCCGTGCCTGACTCGACTACAGGGATTACAGTGGCTATAGAAGTGCGTGTTGGTAGCACTTCCGCAGCAACTTTCTGCCCAATTGGAGAACCCAATATCAAGACCAGACCCAGGCATGGTATGATCGCATTCGGGCAAGACAGTAAGTGCCAGATGTAGTGCCACAAAATGCCACAACTCATTGTAGCCGGGTCTCGCTGCACCTAGATGATCACAAGCCCCAACCATGCCCTGAAGACACATTGCTGTCCAGACGAATGTGGTCGCTGAGCCGGGAAGTGGCCACAGACCTTGGGGGCACTTAGTGACATTCTACAGGCCCGCCCGCAGGAATCCTCAGGAACATCCCAAGAAAGGCCGTGGCTGGTTCAGCAGCATTGCCAAGGAGAACGTGAGAAGGAAGAGAAAGAACTCGGTGATCGATCCACCTCGGAGCGTATTCAGGCGCTACTAGTATTCGGGTCCAGGTTGCCTCAAATTCAGGGTTGCCTCAATTCAGGGCAGTGAGAAGACCCATACCAGTAGCTCAATGATTGTTGTGATCTTGGCTCACTACATCAAACCTCCAGTGAGACTCTTGAGGCCGTTTGGATGCGCATGTAAACCCAGTGAGCACCTCATTCCAACGTCATTACATTGACCTTGAACGTCAATGATCTGAAAGAATGCCGCCGTTTTCAGGCTGGTGCCCATGCGATACGAGTGAAGCAGCCATTGTACCACGCTGATTGTACGGACCCGCGTCTGGTCCAGAGTGCCAGAGACATCAACTTGGGCTAAGCTAAGCTCCGCACAAAGCTTGAGGTTATCGCCTGGCACTACGAGTTTTGACAAGGGTCGGGCAGTCCGACAAGCCTCACCGTCAAAAAGAAACATCAGGAGTCCTTGCAGCCGGCCTTTGATCCTTTCCCGCTTTGTATTCGGGGTCTCAATGCTGCGAGTGTCATCGTCCGTGCCATCGTCCCTGAGTCAATGGACCCTTCTGATTGGGGCAGTTGAGCAAAGTCTGGTGTTCCGTGAAATATCTAGGGCCGCACTGGTGTACTAGCCAAGTGTCTACAAGGAATGCTTGATAGGGAACTGGCACACAGGATTGTCAAGCAGCATAAGTACAGTGAATGCTCCAGATCGAGTTCTGGGACTTCGTCCTCTGCACGTCGAGGTTCTATACAAGTGTCTGTAGGGAGGCTTTGCTGGTTCCGTGGCACGTCTGGATCAAAACTTTGACGCTTCATCTAAGCCGGAAGCTTGCAGAACCGCAGAGAATGGGGCCACGTACACACGCCAAGTTTGCCGGGCTATTCAGGACGAGAGACTCCATAAACCCAATGAAGCCATGGAATGGACATGCCCTTTCCTGCTTGTCGGCTTGGCTGTGTGTGGATTACCGGACGTTGTGTATCATGCGGAAGCACTGCCAGGATGACAACAGCACCGAGGCCGCCACCCTGCCGACTGGTCATACGGAACCTATAGGTGCGGGCAGCGGTGCACAAAAGAGTCGCTTGCAAACCCTGCCATGTCACAAGGCGATTTAAAATTTCATTGCAAGCCACTCCAAGCAATTCAAACGGTGTAGGCAGGTGAGGATATTTGCGCTGCCCAGGTTCATAATGGGCTGAAAATCGTTGGCGACCCCGTCAAGCTATCTAAGTGCACATGCGGCAATTCTGAGGCAACTTCCATAACGCCATGCTTGACATCCTTGTCTCCTCCTGTCATCGCACCTGCTCCGAATGTTCTCAGAACAAAAGGACAAAGTGCTTCTTTATAATGATAGCTGTCAGAAGGATGCGAGAGTGTTCGCATTGCCGCCTCCGCCTCTCTCATGCAGCTCCTCAGTACAACAGCGGGGCTTGGCTTTCAGAGATGATGCATTCATACCGAGGTTACCGAAGAAACGACAGTATCCTGTCGGACTTGTGGTGAATTTTCTACGGCTCTCCCTGACCAGACGATGCTCGCCAGTCGACTGAGGAGCTGGCAGCCCCGATCGGCACTCGATCAGGCGGGCAAGGCTTCAGTAAACAAACTGCTGCGAAGAATCAGCAAATCATCGGTGCAGGAGCAGTACACGAAAAAAGAAAGGCACGCTGGATCTGTGAGAGCGCTCGGCTGCCCCTCCCAACAACTCCCACTGCAGAACATCACAGGAGACTCAGGGGGGAGGCAACCCCTTGCCAAACTTGTCGTGTCCCCGAATCAAGTGCTAATTCACCCCGCAAGCAAGTGCAGTGTGACCCAGTCATGTAAGCTGCTCAATCACGCCAGCACCACCCAGATGACTGACTGGGGATGTAGGGCTTCTTTTACTCTTGATGGTAGTAGCGGGTACTGCTGGAATCCCCCAGGACTTTGCATAAATACTGCTTGCGCTCCTCCACGTTGTTTCCGAGAGGTGGCTTCAGCCGTGTCTTGAAAGCCCATTCTTCGAGGATTTGTGTTGCAATACACGAAGCTGGAGTTGACATCCTACGGCTGCCTCTGCGCATGTCGACGGCATCGACGGCAGGGGAGGGAACGATGTGGCTCGAAAGTCATTGCCTCTTGGGATATTCCTCTGTGCGTGGAAAACTTCCGTGAAACTAGGTTGCGGTTGGGATGATCAGTCCGTTGCGCCTGCGCCTGTAGTAGGGAGACAAACAGCTCTGTTACCGGCTTACATCGTCTCTCCACGAGCCAGCCCCAGAGTCCCTTTTACGTCAGGACGCAACAATGATTTCTTTGTCATTGCGGCTGGACAGCCTTTGCAACTGGCTATGGCTGTCTGTGAAGCTCTGAGGTAACCGAGGACTCAAGTGCCGGCGAGGTTTGCACGAAGCACCTGAGCCAGGGAAGTGCCAGGCAAAGCCCCACAGATCATCTGAACCAAACACCTCTGGCACTTCGTCCAGCTTACATCGTATGACAGCAGCATCCACATCCGATGGAGTAATTACAACGACTTCTCCAAGAAATCCGTGCATGTCTCCATTATCCAGGCAGCTACTGCAGGCTCTGACTATCTTCAGTTTAGACACCAAATCATCAGCTGAAGTCGGGCACCATGTGAACCGGACGATGGTCTGAAAACTCGGCCGACCTATATTGAGCAATCAAGAGTCACCCAGCAAATCCAAGCCGGTAGATACAGCTCTAGAACATACAATACATGAATGCATGGTGCAGCTCCTGCTGCCTCGCAAAGGTTCACATACTGCCAATCTGCTCTTCTCAAAGCATGCCAGCAAGACTCCACCGACGAGTAGGCCGTCACATTAACCTTTGCTGCCACTCTCCCTGCCTTGAAACTTGACCGACCTACTCCAGGGATTCCAGTGTCAGCCACAGGCACACCCGAAGGAAGCTTCACATCAAAGAAACACGTGGAGTCAGGCAGCTCTGCTAAGGAGCATCTGCAAAAAGGAGCATCTACCGCACAACTGCAGCCCTTAACCGCGTGGAACCACCTACCCATCGCTAGTATCTCCTTGGGGCCCGGCCTCGACGCCGCAGCCCGGTCTCCACAAGATGCGATCGCACCTACGGTCAGTCTTACAGCTCAGAGGTCCTCAAGGGGTGGAGTGAATTTTCGACTTCTTGGGCCAAAGCCACCCCGGCAGCCGGGGCTCATCGCGATCGAATCGGACTGGCACGACGCCGGCTCTAGCAGTTTTGTATGTCACACTGTGACATGTGTTGCCTGGGCACGACTGCACGTTCTGAGGAAAGCTTCTACCGCCAGCTCCATGCGTTTGCGGCTGATGCCCTTCAAGGGCCGAGCTTGTGCTGCTGGCACTGGCTGGTGCACGCCTGTACCTGACAGGCATCCTACAGTTTACATCAGCGAATATGTTCCACCAACAAGCTCAAAGCAGAAGGCGCTTCGTTCACCCCACTTTTTGTGACCCATGGTCGAGCTCTGTCGGGCCAGTCGGGGGCTCCGTCCTGTGAAGGGGCTTCAGCGCTGTAGCGCCAGTGGCCCCAGTGGCAGCAGTGGCCCCGATGGCCCCAGTGGCTGTGTGCAGCTGTCGGATCAACAACCTCAGCTCCGAACACCCTTATCCACCTCATCCAACACTCCGAGTCTTCGCCCAGGAATGCCAAGGAGCTGCATCTCCTGCGTTTTTCGTTTCAGGCCCCGCTGGGTTGGACCGCCGGAGCCTTGACGGGAAGCGACGCGGGAAAGGGCTGCACCATACGACATCAAGCTACTCGTAAGTACCCACGAGTACCCACACCAACCAGACCAGTTTAGCACAACACTCTCAAAGATGAGCTGGTGTCAGCGCTTGGCATACCTGTGTCTTTCTTTCATCTTTCCTCCCTCCGGCTGCAAGCCCAGATGCTCGGTTCTTCGCGGGGAAGAGCTTCCTCTTTTTCTGAGTCCCACTCGTCGATCTCACTGTCCTCAGGGTCTCGGAACATCGGAACCCCGCTACAAGACGTGAAATGCAAAGAACAGAAACTCGTCGCATCTCATCACCCCCTTCCCAAGGCTGCACAAACGCCCAGACATCTCATCCAGTGCTGCTGAAGTCACGACTTCCAAGCTTGGCGCGGGCCTTTGGGCCGGAACCTCACATGGTCTCAACAGGGCCACCCAAACCTTCAAAAACGTCCCCAACCGTCTTCGACCAGCTTCCCTCTTGAAGCCCCGCCTCTGGAGCCAAGCGCCGCCGCAGCGCCACACGCAGCCGGGCCCGAAAGGAGGTCGCTTTAGGCCGGGCCTTCACCGCCCCTGCCAGGTCGGAATGCAGGCGTCAGACACGTAACCTGAAACAGCGCTGGTCTACTTACGACAGCCATGTCTCAAAACTGATGCACGACCAGGATCCAGCACAACCGAAACCAAATTCGTGTGGCTTCTCAACAAACCCGTCATGTCGCAGCCTGCACTTCTCTCCTCATCTGCCACGTTGGGCCTGTGGAGTGCAAGTGAGAAGTCATCATGTGCAGTAGAGCTAGGCTTGGGTGGCGATGGATTTCATGGCTCAGGACTTGGGCCCAGACACAAGCTCTTCAAAATGCTTTGCTATACTTTGCTATCCCAATCGATCAAGTTCAACAATGTAAAGGGCCATGGGGCAACCTCCAGGTCCCAACAAGAAAGACATTCTTACCCCACCCACCCACCCCATTGGAAGTCTGGAAGGGGTCTCTGTAGGCTTCTGGGGGGTGTTGGAGTCTAGGGCTCTCTTGCTGATAGCTTAGGCTGCCTGTAGGTTTTTGAAGCTGGAAGAGAGCAGAACTACGGTGGTCACCCGCTTTTCAGAAGCCTCCATCTTGAGCTAGGCCCCCCTGCTTGGACTTCTTGTGCCGCAGCAGCCAGGGGAAGAGGTCCGAAGTTTTGTAGGCAGAAGTCCATATCTGATGGCCCAAAGCCTGCAAATCTCAACACCTTCATGATGACTGCGTAGTTACATGGCATGTCACGGGGCACCAAACCTCTCCACTGCTGAACACTTTCCTAACGTTACCAAGCTACTGCTACTCAGAAGAGCGACTTTCCGAGACGGGGCACTCTTGCAGCTCTGCCCTCGAGGCCCGAGCTTGACCGAACGCGACAAGCTGCTACCACTGAAGAGCAGGCCTCGTACTTCGTGAGTCGCAACTTCGCGCGTCCACGGCCCTGCCCAAGCTTTTGCGACCAAAGCGCCAACGTGCGCTGAGGTCGGATCTAAAACTGAACCCCCCCCCCCGGCACCTTGCCGCCCAATGCTTGGTAGAGCAGCATGGACCCATCTGGGTCCACTGTGCGATCCTGGCGCCCAGGGTGCAGCGCGCTGCAGAAACGATGGTTCCGGGCATCTCCCAGCCTTCATGCCATGGAAGAGCCATATGGGAAGCTCTCCTTACACCAGCGGCTTACCCAAAAGCCTAGCAACGCAGCTCAATTGTGGCAAGTGGCTGATGTTGCTGAGGTCGTCCTCTTTTGGCGCAACTTTGGCCAATTGCAACATAGAGTTCAGACTGGTTTCCAGCCTGCCAGGATGAAGCAAAAGACATGAATGTTGAATGTTGCCGGCCAGCACTCAACATTCCGATGAGCATGGCGTTCTGAGGCTCGGGCGGCAATTGCTTTGTGAAGCCACCGCACACTCCAATCCTTGGTTCAAACGGCCCCAGCAGGGGATACTGCAATCATGAGGTGAACTAGAACCACTCCCGCCCTCTCATCCAAAGTCGACCGTGTGGAAGTCCATGAACAAACCAAGGCCATTCTACTTGAAGCCATGGAAGGATATGGTAACATGGTGGTAAGTCGGGACGCAGGGCAGCAAAGAGCCCTGGCGCAGCCGAAGCTGCGGCAAACGCCCCAAAGGCACCCATGCTGAGACCACTGATGTAGATCCTGAGAGGGCAAGTGTCTCAGACGGTACCCTGTCATGGTGGTTTAGGGTTGGACAAGCCCCCGCTGCTACCCCCCCCCCCCCTCCTCCAAACGCTCTTGCAAGTCTGCCGTTCCTACGCTTGCACATTCAGCTCCGCACCTGTTGGGATCCAATGAGAACTCATCGCGCACCTCTGTGGGTACGGTGCAAGCAAGTGCTGCAAGAGCACTTTGGCTTGCCGTGCCCCAAGTACCAAGAGTTACCAAGACACCACAGGCACAAGCCGGCTTGCAAGAGGGGCAACCCTGTTGAGCTTGTCTCCAACAATTTGCAAGCTGTTGCCTTTGTGCCACATACTGGAATTCCAACGTCCGTCGCTCCCGCCCATGACATGTCATGTGACTAAGCCTTCAAGGCATTTGAGTAGTACCAGTACAGCTGCAAAAACATGGAAGCTTACGGCTGCATCGCTCAATGCCTGCTTTGTGAGCGCCACGATGCGGTCCGCTATCGCAGGCCAAACGAGAGCCTGCCACCGTGTAGGGGAGCGTAGCACTCGCAAGCAAACTATCTTTACGCATCTCTACACGCACAGTCCCAAATCCATGCTAAAACATGCTAAAACCATTCAGCCACATCACACGCAAGATCTGCAGGACCACTCTCCTCTTTCCGCGAGAAGACGAAATTTCGGCCTCCGGGCACTGTGGCGCAACAAGGAAGAGCCGCTTCACGGCTGCCAGAGTCCATGGGCCGTTGTTGCGCACCTCACAGATTTTCCGAAAAGCGAGTGGGAGCAGTCTATTGGAGGTATGGTTGCGAGGCGTGAAAAATGGGTACTTGGGAATCTGGTTGCCTAAATCCTCAACTCCAAGGCCGCTGGATCAAGATCGGCGCACCTTGCCCAAGTCTCGTCCGTCCTCGTGACCACCTGGGACGGAACCCCTTTTTTGCTCGCATAGAATAAAACCCTCCACCACACAGGGGTGCCCCCTAAGTATCGAAACCTCCCATAGATAGAGACTGCGGAAGGGTTGCAGCTAATGCTGAGCTTTGCCCCGAAGCATTCTAAGTTTCAAGTCTCGTCGGACCGCATGAAGCAAAGTGACGTGCTTGTCTGTGCTTGGACTGGGGGTTGCCGAAAGTAGGGGTACCTTTTTTGGGTCCTTTTAAGGGAAACCTACGATTTGGGGGGCTATGGGGGGTCCCCATATCTTCCTAAACCCCAAGTGGGAATGTCCAGTAGACTTTTCCCTGCAACCATGTTGCGCTCTCCTGCGCCGTGCAAGAAGATGAGGACTGGCCATGGCTGCCGAACAGAGTCGTCCGGAGTCTTGGCCAGATACCTGAGTAGCTTCAAAACAGCTGATAGCTGTTTGATGATCTTTCACGACAGTTCACGTTGATTTCGGAACAAAGCTGTGGGAGGACTGGCCAAGTCCATCGATGTACTTTGAGAAATCACCCTGACTCGCCGTGCGGAGGACCCTTGCAAGCTTAGGCATGCAGCTCACTGGCCCACGGCTCGGCTCAAATGACGTATCTGTCGGGACTAGAAAGACAATACTGCTGCATGCAAGTACTATAAATCATAACCCGGGCAGGCACAGTATATTTTCGACAGTGCGTTTTTCAATGGCAGAGCCCACTTTTTCAGCAGATTACACTACCTCATCTAAATACGATTGTACATTCAGAGTATGCTCCCGTATCTCACACTATGCAATACATGCCATGTAGTAGGATCATACCGCCCATTTCTGTGACGACCTCGGATCTCTTTGGCGCGAGGCTGGAGGCCCGCGGCTGAGCCCCTGCGCTCCGCTGCGGTGCGGCCAGGGGTACCCCAGGGCATGGGGACGAAGCTCGAAGCTCGGAGGTTGGCTATGGGGTATAGGGTATAGGGTTTGGGGGTTCAGGGGTTTGGGGTTTAGGGCCTGGCCAGTCGGGTTCAGGGGTTTCGGGTTTAGGGCTGAATGAATCGGGTTGAGCGGTCTGGGGTTTAGGGCTTAATTAACAGACTCAGGGGTTAGGGTTTAGGGCTGAATTAATGAGGAGGGTTCAGGGTTTAGGGCTCGAAAGAAGACAATCCCAATATCATTGCTTGGATGATTTGGATCTTTGCATCGAGAATTGAATTCGCAGGCTGCTTGAGCCGCATGCTGGCAGGGGACGACAAAATCTCGAAACAGGCTCTGCGCCTTTTCGCCTTCTGCCCTACACCCCCCACAGCCTGTCAAACGTCAAACCTGCAATTCCCATCAGAGCAAACGGTGGCGCACGTTGGCGGAAATGCCACCTGCAGTTCTCTTCCCATCTTTTTTAAGGCCCGTGGTGAGCTGCCTACATCAAAGGCCCTCGGAAGACCATCCTTCAGCCTCACGTTGCCTCACGCCGGAGCTTTTTGGCGTTAGAGTACATTCTTCTGTTCATAGAACCTACACACCTACACATCATGTACTCGCTGCCGGCAACTTCTTGTGCAGCAAATGTTGCTCTCAACCGACCTCCGCTTCCTGGAAGCCTGCAAAGGCGGGTGCTCCGTCACGCAGGCGCTGCCGTAGCTGACAGCGCTCCTGCAAGAACCAAGCGCATCTGTCTATGGTTTTTGCCACCCATGACACATCATGAATGTAAGGGATTCCACAGGGCTGGCCAGCCGGCATCCTTTGTGCCCACTTTTGCCGAACACGCGTCGGACTGAGACATGGTTTGGTTCTGGCTTCCCGGTGCCCATTACAGCCTCAAAGAGCTCGGCCCCACGGCCCTCTTCGAATGCAGAGGTCAGCGCTTCAAACCTGATCGGATGCCCACGCAAGATTGGAGCACAAACCCTCGTCTCAGCCATCATCTTCGCCCTCTTGCCAGCCAGGGGTCTCTGACACGAAGTCGGGGGAGCGCTTCTCGGGGGGCGTGGCCTGCACTGGAATCATGGGAGCGGCAGCTCCCTCGGAGAATCCGTGCACCCGAACCTTCGTCGGCTCTTCGATGGCCTTCCCCGGCGGGCCCTCCAAGCGGTAGTTCAGATCCTGGGATTCGAGGAGGTGTGGTGATCAGAACCGTGGTGCTCTGCCTCAACACCCCACCTGAGACTGAGCGTCTTCCCGACTATATCCTCTCTAGTATGATGCTGATGCTGCTGAAGCTGAAGTCCGAATTTTAAGCATGTCCGAAGAGACAAGATGTCGAGGCTCGCCTAAGACGATGAGGAGCGACTGCGGGTCATGCTCGACGTGGAAACGCTTTCCGATCTGGTCCTTGCTGGCAAGTGTACGTATTTAACTCATTTTCGCCATGCTCTCCGCATCTGTCCGGTCACCCAGCAGGTCACACATGAGATCCACTGCTAGACAGGACTCTTGCGCAACTCACAGCTGCCACAGCTTCTTCTGGTCTTCACCAAGACTTGGGCACTGGCAAACGTGTCATCTCGGATCTGCGGCATGGTGGCTTGACGTTAGGTTTGCGATTGTCTGTCCCTGTGCCATACTTTCTGGAACACTGGGCGAAAAAGGTCAAGAATCAAATTTCAAATGCGTGTCTCAGGAGATTGACCAAAGAGGTGAGGTAGTCTTCTTTGGTGTGGCCCTTGTCGCCGTCCACGCTAGCAAAGCACCCCAACATGGAAGAGACGAATGAGACGATTAACACAGGGCCTGACATAGCCCAACAGATGTCCAACAATTCATGTGATTTAAGGAAGGTATTGTCCCTGGCAATCTGTCTTGAAGGTGCATGTTTGCCTGGCTCTTGCCGTGGCCAGCCTGGCATGTGACAGCGTGCTGCACCAGCGATAGAGATTGCAAGCGGATCCACAGAACAAGCTTCTACCTGCTTCATGCACTCTTGGACCATGCAGAGTACCAGGTGAAGTCCCTTCAGCTGGGGAAGCCTCCAAGTGTGCGTTGGCAATGCACAGGCTCATGCCCTGCCTCGGCAACACAGCACGGAGAAATGCAGTGAGAGTCTGGGTGGCTGGCGGGCCTTCATTGTCAAACGCAGAAACGCAATTGGACGATGAATCTGCGCTGGGGAGATCTCATCCAAGCTGCCGTTGGCACTCAACTGCAACGCAGCCCTTGGAGCAGACCTCAGCATACTTTTCGTCCCCCCCCCCCCCCCCCCCCCAGTTCCTCCCCGAGCTCGAAAAACATCAAACGAACCCGAAAACCTTTCTGGGACCCATCTCTCTCCGCCTTCTTGTCGTCGTATGTGAAGGGCAGGGACACCACCTGTTTTTGTCTGATGCCAACGATGGAGGAGCGTCGGGGAGGGGGGGGGGGGGCATATGGGAGGAGGGCAAAGCACGCACACAAAAATCTCACCACGCTTCTCCCTGTCTTCCTTGCTTGCCCCTCGGCAGCCCAGTGCCTCACTGCTCTGCGGCGCCCGCTCAAAGACCAGCAGGGGCAAGTAGGAGTCGCAATGAGCCGAGACGAGCACCTCTGAACAGCAAAGCAGAACTCAGAAAAGCAGTGGGCAAGCCCACTTTACACGAGTGGTCCTAGTCCTCGTTGTGCAGAGGACAAGTTATGGCCAGAGCTTCGCTTCTCCAACTCCGAATTCTGAAGCAGCCCCGACACCTCCATCGGCGCATCGTCAGCACGGAGCACCTGCAAAGTGCGAACCCAGCTAACATCTGAGAACCCACTTGCCACGCCATGTACCGCAACTCGTGCACTGCAAACTACACACGGTTCAAGGCGTAGATCCGACAACACAGGACTGCGCGTACAGTTCGGGCTTGCAGTGACAGCTGCATGACAGGCAGCGAGAGCACATTCACAATCATAGCTCACTTTGAAACTCGAAGTCGGCGAGATCTTAGGGCCTCTGAGGAGAAAAACAAGAAAGAAAACCCCGCCCCCCCCCCCCCCCCCCCCCCCCCCCCCCCCCCGGAATACCCCCCCCCCCTCCCAGCTCAACAAAAACCAAACGTCCTCCTCCTCGCCTCGAGAACGCGGTCTCGGAGCGGAGCCAGGAGTTGAGGGTGCAGCTCCTCTCAAGAGGAGCGAACAGAAGAGGGCGAAAAAACCAGCCCCAAATCGCGGGACTTGCAAACAAAGAGTTATTTCTGAGAAATTTTAAATTGCTATAAGTGGTACGCGTCTGTTTTGCCGACGTTTGAATTTCATGAAAGGGCACGACGAAGCTCGGCGTCCTGCAGTCCGAGGGCCACCACAGATGCCCCCGACTGGCGGCAGAGCTCGGCCAGCCACCGAAACGCATCTGGCATCGGGAAAAGGGGGGCGGGGGGGGAGGGGGGGGGGGGGGGGGGAGTGGGGGGGGGGGGGGAGGGGAGGGGGGGGAGGGGGGGGGGGGGGGGGGGGGGGGGGGGGGAGGGGGGGGGGGAGGGGGGGGGGAGGGGGGGGGGAGGGGGGGAAGGGGGGGGGGAGGGGGGGGGGGGGGCGGGGGGAAGGTTGGCCATGGCGCTCTGCTGTGATGATCTGTGATGTGGTGTGGGTGCTCTACAGTGGCACCCAGGCTTCGGAGTACTCCAAGCCAGAAGCTCCGAAACAACTCTTGCATACCTTTGCATGGGAATACCTAGCATCCCGCCTGCATTCGGCAGAGCCGCTGTCTGCTTCTTGCAACCCAGGTTCCTAGGCTTTGCATGGCATTGTCGTTGTGGAGAGGTCACAGGTCACAAGTCAGACATAAGCAGTTCTGCGAAATGGTACCCAGTGCCAAACCGCAACTCGAAACACGCCGGAACGCAAACAAGCATCAGAAAACTAAACCCGCACCTGGTTTTGGGCTGAAGAGGCATCGAAAGGGGAAAGGCAGCATGCATTGTCGCATTTCTCTCTGGTACCAAGCTGCTTGAGCTGTCGGAATGCAAAGTGTCGAAGGATTGCGGGAATGGTAGTTGGGACGCGGATGGTTTCCGCGATGAGGTTACAAAGGTTGCATGACTCAATGCTGTTTGCTGCGAGCAAGCTCATTTTTGACAGGAGGTAAGGGTCGATGTTCGTGACGGTTTCACAAGGATCGACAAGAACAACAAGGTGCTACACACGTGTATCACAGTTTATGCATGCATGCAATTGACATACACGTCGTACGTAGAGCACATATCATACACATCATCCGGCATAAACACGCATAGTGAAAGGTGGTGATGGGATTCAATATGGAATCACTTTGAGGGGGTTCGCAGACGCGGTGCTTGGAAAAGATCTGGCGCCGGGAAGTCTACATGGTAACCGAACATCAGTTGAGAATCTCAGTACTCCCGCCCAAATCTTACCCTTCTCTGATGATTGCCAGGCACCAGCTGCAGAGGGCGATCGTCAGGGTAGCCATGGCTCAATGCTCTCAACATGCCTCTACAGTAAGTATAGCTGCTTGCTACTATATGAAATTGCATCTCTGAAGGTGGCTAAGCACCTTGTTCTTGAATGTATTCTCCTGATTCGCATTGCATGAAGTTAGGTGGACTGATTCCAGTTGCGCTCATGGCAGCAAGGAACAAAAATCAGGCACAACGCACATGTGCTGGACGCTTTGTCAGACCTGTTTCACTGTTCAACTGCAGAGAACCCAAGCGCTACCCAAGCATTTTCCCACATCGGTGCCGGGTGTCTTCCATGCAAAGGTCCTAACTCTTTCGACCCCTGAACTACCACTGAAACTAGCATCGCCTATTGGGAAATCCCCTCAGACGCCACCAGCACAAGGTCCAGGTTCCTCCCAAAAAGCCGCACTAGAAAAAGGCCCTTTGTCTTGCATATGTGAAGTTGCAGCCGGACACAATCACTTGCGAGGGCCCCAGACGAAAGCGAACAGGAACACAAGATAACAGTTTGACAAACATGGCTTGCCTTGTAAAGCCCCACCCTCACTTAATTACATAGTGTTCAAAGTTGAGTCAGGCCACAAGGTGGGGGGGGGGGGAGACCCCCTGCCAGACCGTTCGCAAACAGTGTGGCCCGGGCCTGGAGCCTTCCATAAAGCTCGCTTTCATGACTAAACCCATTCCTACCACGACAGAACTGCACCGTCTGGACATCTAGTACTATCCACAAGAGCTCATGCGATAGGAGAGTACTTGCTATGTGGCACTTTATGTGTCAAAACTGAACTCTTGATGCCTGCAAGGTTGGACCTTTACGCTGGAGCTAGCCTAGCTTTACTTGTCTAGAAAGCGTCCCTCAGTTCCACCATCGGGTTGAAAGGATATGGGGAACACAAGACGCCCCCAAATTACCTCCCTTCTCCTGTCTGTCCGGTGCAACCCCTCCATTCGTCGTTCAAAGGAAACGGCCAACAAGTTTGCGCCTTGACGTTGACGGCAGGCACACCAGCTGCCCATTGCCAACTCGTTCACCTACCACGCCCGAACTCCGCTGTAATTCAGCCTGCTCACCTGCTAGGATCCTAGATATCGGATGCAAACCGTGCAGGCTGTGGGCCGTCTTGCAAGAGCCGGCCAACATGGAGCTGCAAGAGGCTTCGCGAATGGTCCAAGAGTTTGGGCCTCTATGCGTTGGGCCACTATGCGTTGGCATCTCAGGTCAACAGGCAGCGCAGAAGCAAAGCACACATTTTTGCCGTGAAGCTGACCACACGCCATTCGCAATTGCTCTGGATACCCGAGGCCGAGGTTGATGCACAAAGCTTGAATGGAGGGCACATGGTACGAACCTGTAGTCTATGCTGAATTCATGGACTGTTGTTTGTAACCAAGGATGTTGTGAAGCAGTTCA